CGAGTACATTATTTAATATGACGAATAGGAAATATTGTGCTGTTATTATGTTTGGTTGCGTGAATTCGTCAATAACGCATCCAGACATAAGTTTTTTTTTAAATTACCTGGAAACTCCAGGTAGGTACATAATGTGTGTCTTTATGGATCATTATTTCCAGTTATCTCACGAAAACAGATGTTTGAATTTATAAATAATATGAATAAAGTTATTGAGACGAGTGAAATAGGTAGTTATTCTGGTTCTGGCTCTGAATGAATCATGATACGTTAGGTACCTACCTACTTACGCTTGTGTTAAAACGGTTCATGTATGTTTTGTTAGTTTGTATAATTCAAAGTAGAGAGTGTGGTATTTTATTATTAATAATATTTGTTTATTATCTGCGTTTATGAATAATACTAGAAAATATTTAATAACAACAATAAAACAGCTAGACTCATGTAATATTTTGATTGAGGGTTGTGATTTTAGAACATTCGTAGTCAGCTGTTCAGTTCGGCATTAGTGGCCAAAGAAATTTTGTTTGTTTATTTTTAAAGCACTTTATTTGTTTGAAGGCACCGGGGGGTTGGTACAAACATCAACATGCCGATCGTCGTCTTCACAGTCCATTGTAGGGCGTAGGATTTTATAATCAGGCCGAATAAATTACAAATATAACGGACGTCGGCGATCCGTCTCAGATGACAGTCACAGCGCTCGCTCTCCAACATAATGCGCACGCAGAACTGCCAGTTTGACGTTCCGCCAGAGTACGATTTATGGTACCCTCGTCCGATAAATTGTGATAAAACCTCCTTCAAAATTCAATTTAAATAATCGTCGCTCCGACATGTTTATATAAAAAAAAGGATATTTACAATCACAAAACTAAATGGAAACAGAAAGTACACAAAGGTAATTAAAATACTGGAGACGAGCAGCCCTAACGCATGTTTACGTACCGCGCGGCTGTAGGTATTTATTTCTTTCAAGCGGCCGAGTTACAATACTGTATGATATTTATACTGTGGTTACGAGCACATTGCCGGCCTTTTGGGATAACGGTATCAGATAGATAAGAATTGGTAAGGGATGAGGAGAGGGAGAGGTTACCTCCGGTAACCGATGGTTTGTTATCTATTATTATATTTGTTTGTTGTGAGTTTACCGATGGCTGTTTCACGCCGGTTTTCTGTAAGGCCGTGGCACAGATTACTGAATAGTTACTACGTAAGTGGTATCACTCCGGTCGAGCCGACCCAATCGTGCCGAAGCTTGGCTGTCCCACACTTTAAATAAAATGTATTGCATGCCTAACATATTAAAAACCAAAGATTCATAGGAATACCTATCTAAATAATAAAACTTATTTTTAGTGCAATGAGAGTCGTCACAAATTATTAGGTATCACCTATGACAAAAAGAAATTCGTAACAAAGAGACAAATTGATTAGTATTCAGAAAATATACAGACAGTCGTATCAGTTTTGCCCGGACCACAGAATCACTAAACCCATATACTCTGAACACAATGACATCCTATCAAATATAAAAACGTCGCAGACTATCTTTGTGTCTTCTGCCAAACTTAGCTCCTATACCCAAGCGGTTTTGGCGCCAATTTGCAGATTTAATTACACCATCAAAGATCACAAGCAGAATATTTTACGATTAGTATTTACATGACAATAGATAAAAAAAGAACACCAATGTTTTGAACTTGGGTTTGAAAAAAGAACAGGCCGACAGGCGCCATTTCCATTTAGGATAATTATTCTTCCTTGTTTTTTTTTTCTTTTAAGGGCAGACAGTTCGCGTACTTAATGTATTTTTATACAGCAATGGCCATGACTCGTTTATTAACTTTGTGTTAGAATTAGATGTCTTTAAATCCTTATGAAATTAATGTAAAACTGAAAATTTTCAATGGATTATTAGTAAATCGATATTTACCTATATAGGTAATTTAATCGGGCTTTTGCCCAAAAAATGAAAAATGATATAGGTTTGTACCAAACCTTCACATTTTCTTTAGGTACAATATTAAAAAAAAACAAAACAAAGTAACAGCAATAAAAGTATACGTTTGCTGTAAACGTAGTGTTTACATTTTCTTTGGTTCGCTGTTACGCTGGAGACGTAAAAGATATTACGAAAATGCTTTTAGGGGATTGAGGACGAATTTTATGTTTGAAACTTAAAATCATTTTTAATGTGAAGTTTTATAAAAGAATTTAAATACAGGTACAGTCTTCTACACTTCGTAAAATGGAAGAACTAAGGAGCGCTTTGGTGGACACGGTGGAAAGATCGGGAGGTGTGAAGCGAGATGGAGAGTCTTTGCCTAGCCCAGCAGTGGTACAATATAGCCAGTAAAAAAGGAGCACATTTAGTGTTTAAATAGGTTTTAAAGTCTGCTTAATATGTACCTATTTAGAGATTATAGATATTGGGATATAGATATTATAAATACATATATGTTTACATGTTATACGCTCATTGACTGCCTCTTTGATCTGATGGCTGCAAGTACCTACCGAGTACTCGGACTTTTACAGTTTTTAGAATACTTTTGGAGGTATGAGGAACAGGATGGAAACTTCCTCATCCTCCATTGAAAAGGGAGGATCCTCCGACCAGGCGAGGTGTTCGTGCCTGGCGGGCTCCTGCCCGACGGTTGTTGTCGGGATATCTGTATGGGTGCTAATTGTGTTGAAAACTCTTATAGCGCGATGTAGAATCTTGCTCGTGATTGGTGCTGTTGTTTATGTAGTGCGCTAGATGTCGCTACATCACTCCCCTCCGAGACCGGAGGTTGTTAGCTGGTTGAGACGTCTGTGAGATGCTTGTCAAGCCGGAGTGGCTTGAGAGAGTCAAAGTCTACACACTACGTCTGGCTTTTCTATATCATATATCTATTATGTAAAATTTATTTAGCATAATAGATGTAAATGAAATTAATATTCAGTCAATGGGCCTCGTGTGAATCGTGTCTATTGCACATGCAGACCTGAAATAGCTTCCTGACCGACTTGAGTTCTGTCAAGGACTAAGACAGTCGATTCAGGTGACCTACTAACGAATTTAGTTCGCAATTAATAGGTAGGTATATTGAAACGTTTTATAGGATATAATATATTTGAAGGATAGAGAAAAAATAGACATTCGGAATTAAGTTATTTATACATAGAAATGACGTAGTATGTAATGCTTTTTAATATTGTGACGACACAAATTCGATACCTCTCCCACCATTTGTACCACAATGTCACACTTCAGCTATCCCCTAACTCCCCCCAGTGTGATGCCATTTATAACCTATAGCCTCTAAAATAATAAAATAGTGATAAAAAAATCCACAAAAAAAAAGTATTATCTGAGCGAAGCAACGTTGATGACTTAATAAAAGTACTTTAGTAATGTTCTAATCTCGCCTGAAATGGTAGCGACTACCTATCTATAAATCCGTTACTCATGGTACTTGGAAAGCAATGCAGATAATTTGTGAATACTACATTGAGTATCATAAAATTTTCAAGATTCTGAAGTACCTATCATGTAAATCTATACCTACTAATATTATAAAGCTGTGGAGTTTGTTTGTTTGTCTAAAATGAACGCGCTTACCTCCGGAACAACTGGTTCGAATGTAACAATTATTTTTATGTTAGTCTATTTATCGAGAAAGGCTACCTATAGGTTATAAAACATTACTCTTTTTAAATGTGGAAGAGCCATGCATCTGCTTCATGACAGAAGACCGAATACTACGGCCTCACAAAAAAATTACGTGTTGCAGCACTTACGTTGTGTTAACTTGTGTTTCGCCGTGTGAGTGAGGTTACCGGAGGCCCATTCCTTTTCTCTCCCCATTCTCAATCCTCAAATCCCCTATCCTTAAATTTCTAATAACCCACAAGAGGCCAGCAACGCACTTGTATCCTTTGGTATGCCCTAATAATGTCTATGGGCGCCGCTGATTGCTTACCTATCTTACTCGTTTGTCGACCTAGGATATAAAAAAACCCGCCACAATCTTTAGGAACCGAGCAGTGGGGGAAACCGCGCGAAAATAGCTTGTATAGGAAATATAGGAATATAATACAACACTGCCCACTACTAATTCATCATCCACATCTGATTGGCAGTAGGTACTTAGGAATTGACGGAAGCATGACTCGTTTGTGTAAATTAGGATTAGAATATGCAGGTACAACATTAGAATCGAGTGGTCGCAACAAAATCACGAACTACTTTGAATAACGACGAGAATTAGGTATTATTGCATAGTTTATTGGAAAACATTTTTTGTATATGGTAACAGTGGTAGGTACCAGGTCGGCAAACGACCAGACGGATTACCTGATTGTAAGCAATCAGCGCCGCCTATTGAGTCCCGCAACAACAGAGGAGTTAAGAGTGCCTTGCCGACCTTTTGGGGATTAGAGATTTGGAGATTTATTGAAAATAATGACCCGTCGGCTGCGCAACGTCGCTACGACGACGCGCACGTTTCCCAACAATAAGTGCCCCGTCTAAGACTTGAAACTAGTAGAGCTTTTCTCAGTTAGTTCTCGTGTCTAATTCGTTATTTTCAATAGATGACAATTATTGCAGCTTATGTCCGCTACACCAGAGATGTTACAAATATGTTAGCTATGGAGTTAGAATTGTCCAAGGAGTACGAGGCCTACCTCCGATAACAGGCGGGGTTGAGAGGTGAGCGCAACAAGGCACCGCGACCTCGGTCTAGAGCAGGAGAAGAAACGGGGTTTTTAGTCAGTAAGAGTCTGACACTCCCTCCCGCCCGACGCTGGGCAGAAGTCATTTGATGAGTTTACACTGACACTACCACGGTGTAGCGGGTTATTTTTTTAACGCCGGTTTTCTGTGAGACCAGATCGACCTAGGAGTAATCAAAATTTTGTAAAAAATAAACGAATTCACAGTCCAAATAAAACGACGAAAATCAAAAAGTAATAATTTATGTATAATCATTAAAATAAAGTAAAGCTTACAACACAACAGCTCCAAATATTGGAAATGGTTCACTAGACTTATTAAGTTTATACCTAAACCTATTGAGGACACCGCTTGCGACTACCACGCCACCTGTCGGGGGGCACACATAGTTTGGCATTGACACTGAAGTTCTAACTGTGGGTCTGAGCACTTGTGTCCGGCAACTTTTGATTTTGATTCTAATACACTTATCACTTTTAAACTTTGTTGGTTCGAATACACTTTCTCTGTGGACTCCGTTCCTTAGTGAGTGAGTGGTAGGTATGAGCCGGAGTTTGGGCCGCTTCATCACCGGCCGCACCGGTGTGTATGTGAACTCCTCGTCCGATTGCTTCTCTTGTGATGTGTCTTCGTTTGTGATTTTATCTGTGAAGTTAAATAATTTTTTATAGATGTTTAAAGGTATAAATTACGACGTAAAACAGGTTTGCGAAAAGGAGGTTTTATATAAAAGCAATGTATTCAATTTTAAATATAATAGTGATTTCATATAATCATTAACTCATGGATCTGATCTGCAAGAAACAAAGTCAAGATATAAAATGTTGTTTTTTCTTTTTAAAAAAGTTTGGTCAACCGCGCATGACTATACTCGGAATTTTAATTCCATTCCACGTATTAAATAGTGACGTTGCGAAATTATTCGATATGGAAATCGAATATTTCTGAATCGATTCCTCTTGTTTATAAATTTACCCTCGTAAACTAAGTTTATCAGGAAATAAAATATTTCTGAACCGAAAATTTAGTTTTGACAATTAATTAACGATCTGAGACTTTTCTTTTGTAATTGTGTGTGAAATTAATAAAAAATGTGATCATGAAGGAACATGACAAATAAAATAGACATTTTATAAATTGTCGCCGTCATCGCTATCGCTATCGCTATTACTTCCTGTAACATTTATTATGAATTGTGTCTCTGATATTTATTGTCAATTAACATATCTAGGTTACTAATTTTTTCCTCTTCTTTGACTACATGGGATACGCATTTAGACCATTCGGTAGCCGTAATTATTTGAATGCCTTCATGGAACTGATTCGCTGATTGTTTATCAATTTTTGTGTTCATCACTACACTGTTATATGTGGTATCATTATTTCACAAAACGACAGTAGGTCATGTCAAATCAGGAATCGAATTAAAATTCTGACTATAGTACCTAGTAGTAGTAGTCCATCAATGCACTATTACGACCTTAATGTATTCTTCCCGTCAAAACATGGAACGAGGTTATCATAAGGATTTTATGAAAAAGTGCGGCACACGAGCTACCGCGGCTTCGCCTAGGAACAGCAGAAGGTTTTTAGTCTGTAAGACACTGACACTTTCCGCCTTCAAAAAAACCCATGAACACCAACAGCGTATACTAAAATATCCGACGCCTGGCATGCTGGTTGGGGATTGGGATGGTGATTAGGATCGTGATTGAGATTGGAATTGGTGATAAGATGGTGATCTGATATCGGGGTTGAGGACAGGCATTGAAGAAATAGGACTGGCTCTCCTGAAAAATGCCCGAAAAAACTAGTTAATAGTACTGTTACAAATAAGTAATACCTGTGATAGGGAATATCATTCGTCGAGGTAATATTGAGTCACCGAGCATCTCATACAGGGTGTAGTCTGTTGTCACGTAGTCTTCTAAGTAGGTGGTGGGTTCAGATCTGAGGAGGCACGTTGATACGTCCTGCGAACATAAATGTTACAATTTTTGTATTATCAGTCAAACATATTAAATAAACAATCTTTTACGGCTTATAAGGTGAATGTGTTTGGTACAGCGCATAGCCTTGAGCTCCTGACATAGCTTGAAACTAGTCAGGTTACCTAGTCAAATGAGAGTAAGATTACATTACATTACATTACGTTACTCACAAGTTATATTGGCTTACTACTGAATTGTACTAATTCCAAATATTTTTTTATGTACATCACACAAGTTAAATAACATTTTTCTATGTCATGGATCGGCAAACGAGCAGACGGATTACCTGGTGGTTAAGCACTGCACACTCTCAATTTTAAATAAATTACTTCAAGTCCGTTGCCGGCCTCTTGAGGATTATTCAGGAATTTTGGATAAATAGGGGAAAGATTGGACCTCGGGTAGCCTCCCTCACAGGGCGAAACACAACACTGTCGTTGTTTCACACCGATATTCTATGAGGCCGTGGTATTACTCCAGTCGAGCCGACCCATTCGTGCCGAAGTACAAGCTTTCACTGACTTGATAGCATAAATATACTCACAAGTATAGTTTCCCTAAGGTCGGTCTGTAGATGGTTTCTTCGGGGCGCGTGTATGCAGTCATCGAGATGGTCCAAATGGTCCGCCAAGCACTCCACTAGGGCTCGCCGGCCGAGCGCCATCACGCACTTTATCATCGGCGCAGTGAGACGCTCCTTCGTGCCTTGTGCTAGGTAATCAAATAAAATACCTTTACCTGAAATAAAGAATAGTTTTATTATAATTATGAGCTAAAAATATTAAATAGTTTGAATTTAATTTGGTAAAAGTAACTTTTTTATTTAAATATGAAACCAAATGGGCTGGACACGTCAGCCGAATGCATCCGGAGAGATGGGCCACTATTGTCACCCAGTGGACACCTCAGGATGGAGGTCGCAGGCGGGGTAAGCCCCGGAAAATATGGTGTAATGATCTAGACGCTTATCGTCGAGCCTGGTGTACACGGTCGAAAGATCGGGAGAGGTGGAAGCAAGATGGGAAGGCCTATGGGCCCAAAAGTGGGACACAAAAGGCTTAAAAAATTTACCAAAGCCTTGCTCTTCGTTACATAACAGCATGTATAGCGGGTTGCGCCGCGAAGGCGCAACCAATTGAAGTTAATTATGGGCCCCTGACAGGGTTTGAAACTAATCGAGTGATCATATAGCTCGATAAGAGTTATCGAATTATTATACCTCACGATGGTTATAACAGGTATGATATCTTATTCAAATTTCAATGTTCGTCTTTACAATGATTTAAAAACTTTCGTATTATCGAAGTACTGTTTTCATATACGACAATATTAAAAATACTTGTCTAATATATTTCCAAATCTGGGGAAATTATTGTATTTTCATACTCTATCAACATCTCTCCCTATTAAAGAAAACACATATATTTAACCCACTTCTTTCTAGTAACTAACATAAGTACTGTCTAAATATGTATGTGCTAAAAGAGAGAACCAAATAAGTCTTTAGTTAGACATACATATAAACTTACCTATTGTTATAAACGACGGCCAAGTTCTTGTGATTTTGGTGAGTATTGCGACCATTTTCTCAGCTAACGAGCCATTGCCTAATATGTTTGATACCATTACTGGAAATAAACGTTGAAACTGAAACAATACATACATCGAAATGAAATAAGGTAAGTACTGCATTATGCTGAGCGTTGGCCATTTCGCGTGCTTGGACGCATATTTTTTCCTACCGTCTACTTTTGTGATATTATTTTTACCATGCTTAATGTATTTTTATTTTAACTTTACTTTATTATCTTGTTCGTTTTGTGTCTTTTATGCGTCCCAGACGCGAATAAATACTTTTTCTTTCTTTCTTCTTTCTTTCTTACTATGGTCGTTGGTCATCTCGCCAGGGTTAGTTCGGGGTATCAGACCGAGACGCGCAAAGAGTTTAGTTCTACGTCTCGACGTCCAATAGGAAATTGGCTAATATCACACGATTGGACGAATATGAACGAATGGACAAACCGACCTCTTGAAAGATTATTGCATATGTTAATTGAAAATTATTAGTCTATTGTTTTATGGAGCCCTTTCAATTCTTGATCTATTATGCTTGTTCTGGTTTCAGATATGATGTCTCTTTAATAGCAAGCCGCTGAGCTCGACCGATTTTGTCTGCCTCTATACTTTACCGATGTCCTTCTGCCTAGCTGGAGAGCGCCCTGTACCGAACTATGTTGGTACTTCATTCTTTTGGGGATTAGCAAGCTAAGTCATCCATAATCCACCCATGATGGGTACAGCTATGCTAAAAAAATATCATCTAATAATATTTAATGCAAAAAAAAATCTCACCTGTTGCTGAATATTCGTGTCCAAACTACAAGGATTGGAACACAGTGCATCTACCATATCCAACACGTTAGACTGTAGGGGTTTCTTAGCCGGGACGTTAAGTGCATTCAAGTTGTCATCATTCAGTACAAGCACAGCCAAGTTGAAGAGGTTTGGGAATATGGGACCGATCCTAGTATTCGTTGTCAAGTCCTCCACCGCTACTTCCTTGGGCTTCTTGCGGAGATTTAATATGGCTGAAAAGTGAAAAAAGTCTATTGTTATTGTGTGTTGATTATTTTAAGTCATCCATGTCTCTAGGACGCGCCGGACTTCAGTGTTCCTACTATAGATCCTGGCTTACAAGAATTGCAGCGGTGTAGGGAGGTTGCGGGAAACTTGTCAGAAAAAAAAACAAATGGTAACTTCCAGACTTGTCGACAAAATTGAATACAAATTCAGAATAAGTCTGCGTCACGTGTAGCTGAAGATGTTTGAGCCCAAATGAACCGGCTCGACCGAAATGACACTAAAGCCTACCAGAATACCCCACATCCCCTAATCGCCTAATCATGAGTGGCGCCGACATATCATAACGGAATAATTAGGCACCTTTAGAGTAAGTAGTCATTTTAAAAAAGGGTGCTCGTCAGACATACAGGTCATTAATTTTCATTTTACAAGAGCTGTGGCAGTTTAGTAATTATGTAGAGGAAATAAATCATGGAAGTGTTGCAATGTACATACTGATAAGACAATCTATAAGTGTATGATACACTGAAGTGTTTGGTAATGAGAATGCTTATTATGTAAAATGTAGCAAATTAGTTTATTAAATTTATTTTAAATTAATAAAAAATATTTTCATGGTTATCAAAGAACAAAATCGAAAGCATAAATAAGAATAATTTACAATCTCATTGACCTTTCCAATACACATTCTTAAAGTGTATCAAATTTTCGCATCTTGCATATCATTTGCATCAAATGTCGAACATGTGACCTTAAATAAAATCTCTATTACTAAACCAACACTGTATTCCACATAAATATAATAACAACAAAGTATTTAATTTTCAACTTTCTTTAAATTAGAATTGAGTCTGGAATTGCTTAACTCAAAACATTGATATTGAAATACCTTTTTACTTTTGATGTCTATGCTGTATGCTAAAGTTATAAAACGTTTCTAAATACTAGAGCTTACACTGTTTTAATGTTGTAATAACATTTTTTTTTACACTGGTAATCCAGACAACTACTTCCATAGGTTCCACAAACAAATCTTTACTAACCTATGCCAGTCTCAACTCTTCATTGTGTAACTTTTTTTCGTTGTATTTTGGACTTTATATCAGAACTATAAAACTGATTATCTAGAAAGAAATTTGCGAATAAGTTGAACTACTGGAGTTACAAGTCGATTTGAATCCTACTACCCTACTTCGTACTTATATTATACATGTGAAAGTTCGTGAGAATGTATGTATGGATGTATGTTTATTATTCTTCACGCCAAAACACGCCAAAACAGCTACACAGAATTGGTTGAAATTGAGTATGTAGATAGGTGATACCCTGGATTAACACATAGGCTGCTTTTAATCAACATACCTCCCGGGCGAAGCCGCGGACGGAAGCTAGTAATTTAGAAAAGAAAGAATATTTCTAAGATTGCATACCTCTTGCAACTTTGGTATAATAATTCTGCAGGCTGACACTAATATTGCTGGAGTTATTGAGACTCTTGTCATCCGTTATCCATTCCACTGATACGGTGGCTTCGGAACTGTATACATAACTCTGCGGTGTCAACGCAAACTCTGTCACATTTAATAAGGTGTCCTGTAATTTAATTTTTTAAGGATTAGCTATAGTTATGATTGGTATGTAGAATATTTTGTTTTGTTAAGACCTTTTTTATAAAGTAATGAAAACTTTTTTATGGAATTTAAAATTAAAATTAAATTTTAATACAAACTAAACTTATACATTAGAAATATTATAAATAGATTGTGATGTTATGGAAACCAAGTTTAAAAAAATAATGACAAGTTTAGCAATAAATATAGTAAACATAGCAATAAATATAGTAAACATTGTAATGACACAGAATGTCATCTTCAGCAATTAGTCCACCTATAATTTTATGTCCTTCATAAAGTGTAAAATAAACAATAATACTTACAAGTGGTACACAAAGTTTTTCTTCGCCTAATGGTACGTACTGAGTGATGCACGACCCCACTACGGGGCTTGTGTCTGATAACATGAACACAGTGTTAGCATCCCAGCTATCCACTGTTGTTTTCTTCATCATGGAACTTTGTAGGGCTAAGGTCTAGAACAAAAAAAATATTTATTATTTATTATTATTATACTTGAACACAATAGCAGCTTAGAAAGCTGATTTAACATGCATATTAATGGATTTAGAGATTTGTGTCCAGTCTGTTTTTAAAAGGATTGATTGTGGGCACTTTTATCACAATTTCTGGGAGTTTATTCCATTCCATGATCACCCTATTTGGTGCTTGAGCTGTTTCAACTCATCTGTTACTTATGATGTAAGGGCAATAGATTTGATGGTGAGTTTCTTGTCTATATTCCTTTTTACCCTTCCTATACAGGATTATATCACAATCTTTACCCTAGAAAGGTATCATTAAGAAATTATTATTGAGTTACTTAAGGGCAACATATTAATGTGCAGAGGCAAAACAATTTCCACTAAAAAAATAATCACTATGGTAATTACTTTAATAAAACGGGTGTGTAGTTTACTATCACATTACCATCTACAATCTAAAATGTACCCACTTTTTAAATGAATTCTGAAGTTTATGGCACATTTTGTGAATTTTCATAGAAACTTTCATGTCCTTATTCAATGCAACTTTTATGTACTTATATGCCATATGTCAAGAGATAAATAGTTCAAAACATTTTTAAATATAAATAATATAATTAATAGCAATTTGATCTGAATCAAGGGTTGTATGGAAAGTTGAAATCTTCTCTCTATATTTCTTTAAATTCTTTTTTCATATTTATACAGGTTTTTATTAGTTTTATGGTACTTTGAGATGAGGACAGCTGAAATATATTACAGATTTTCATCCAAAGAATGACGATTAAGATTGATTTTTAATGAAAAAAAATTTACTTCATATTTTGGATTAAGAAGGGTTACTAGTTCAAATCATATTGAGCAAACATGAGCTGTATATATAAGTACATAAAATTGATTTCTTACACTAATGGTTTGTCTGAGTTTGTAGCTAACATCCTCAGCCAGGTTGGTGATGGCCTCAGTACTGACTTCATGACCAGCCTGCTCCGCCATACAAACAACCGAGTCAGGGCTGATACCCGCAAACTTTCCTTGTGATGAGTTTCCATCCTAAAAAAATATTAATTTTATTTATTTTTTTGTAAAAGTCTTTGATATATTTGAAAATAAGAGAATTTATTTTTAAGACCTCAAATATGCGCATAGGCATACGTGCCTCAGCGCAGGGTGAGGCCTTTGTGCTGTAGAGTTAAAACTCGCAAAACAGGCGCCAATTAAAGAACTTACATGTTATTATACTAATAACCTCAACAACACCAATGTTTTACCTTTTCGTTGAGCGGAGGAGTGTCGCACTGACTGGAGCCCCCAGATTCTGATGCCACTGATTTGTTTCTATCGCGTTCTCTGCTACTATTCGCCTTTTTCGAGTGACTTTTATTACTCGAAAGTGAGTTAGACATTTTCATTTGTAACGAACACTTAGATATAATCACAACATGATATTCTTAATTATTGATTTACTTATGATTTTGTCCTAAAATGTGTCTCTGTTATATTTTACAGTCACGTAAACAATTACTCAAACAAATTGATAAAGAACAGTAACACGAAATGCGAAGCGCTGACTTTATTTCCCCGAAACTGACAGGCAGGTCCCAGTTGACAGTTTGACAATGACAGACAGCATGGTCGCATAGATAAAGATTGACAATATAGAGTTATAGAGCAACTAAAAATTTGATATAGTAGACTATCCAAAAATCAAATCACATTTTAAAAGTTCCATCTTAAAAATATTTATTTCGCACCTAAACCCTAACTTCACAGTCCTCCTGTAAGATTTTACAGTGAAACTGTTCAGGATGTTGGCGTGTTCTGTCTAATTCTAATAAGACTTTAGCTGCAACATTGTGTATCATCACTTCTTTCCACACAATTACTGTCATTATAAAACACGATCAATATTATTATAAAATATGAAAGAAAACATAAGCCTAACTAAAGTATAAACCGTAAGCCCTCTCATTACTACTTAGGACCACCCTTAGTAGGTACTTTGCTAAATCTACCAAATCTTTACTTCGTAAAAGTAAAAAGGAAAGCTGCTTCGTTAGTTGGCTTATCGTCAGTGCAAGTACTGAGTCCTAAATGACCCCTTGTCTTGGATTTGATTACTGAGCCGGGCAATTATTATAGATCTTTTGAAAATTTCTCAGTAGTGGTAATGGGCTTAAGTATGCTAATAACTTATTGCATCATTGGCCTTCTAATATGCCAACTATTTGGAAAAAACTGTTGTTTCGCCGTATGGGTGAGGTTACCGGAGGCCCAATCCATCCCTTCCCACACCTAAATCCCCAAACCCCTTATAAAAAATAATAAAAGGCCGGCAACGCACTTGAAACTCTTTTGTCTTTCGGGCGTCCAAGAGCGCCGCCGATTGCTTACCATCTGGCAATAAATGTGTAGTAACGCTGTACTGTAGTTAAAAAAAATCTAGTATATAGTGGGTTTTATATACTGTGTGTTGTTATTGATGCAGCAACTAATTGGCATTTACGGCTCACCTTTTATTTCTGAAAGTTAACACACAGAAATGGACGATGGGTTATTTAAAATAATAAACTTGTTTCATTTCAGTTTTGTTTATATTTCTCGTAAGTAATAAAAAGAGCATGTGGACATAATTGGGTAGGTAACGTCTGTCGATATCAGACGACACGTAATGATCCAAAATAAATTAGCAATGTAGTTTGCTGAAGGCACACAATTCCAGGTTCTGTGAGTTAATAACCACAACAACCTTATATAATAATATAATTAAGTTCTCTCATAACTATGTACATATTATTTATATATCTCGACAAACTATCATGTTCATCTTTATATTACAATATTTACCTTCCAATCTTCCTGTACAAAAGATTATTGCAATTTTTAGACATTAACTAAATTTAAATAAATGAATATCGCGATAAAATATTATTACCAATCATTACGTACTTACTTATAACCTAGATTTTACAAATATTGGCATAAAATAAAAATATCTATGTTCACATGAGGCACGATACGATTATCTTTAATTATGTCAACAATACATAATAATTAAGTTCATTTTACTTAAAGATTATGAATAAAATAAATCCGACAAAAAATATTATACTTTAATGTACCATCTCTTATACAAAAATATTTCAAACAATGGCAAGTTTACATGTAGCATTGGAGTAAGCAATCTCTCTACAGACAGACTCCCCAGCACAAACTGCGGCAAGATTTGGCATGGTTTGGTAACTTCATGCATTATGTATTTTCTTATTAGCCATCATATGTTTTCAGACAAGTTTAATCTTGGAAGAAAGTTAGGTAATGAATAAGAAAAGGAATCGGTGTTAATAGTAAAAGTAAAAAGAAATAAAAAAACACATTACATGCGAATTTAGTAACCACAGACCACAATACAATCTTGTCACGTTTTGTGCCGGTTATTATAGTACATCTGCTCATGTGAAAATCATAATCCATCAAATAATATCATTTGGATACAGTTTACAACAACATCGGAAGCAAACATAGATAATGTTGATATCAACCACTTCCTGTAGTCCATGCAAACAATTTATTGCAATCTACTCTCAAAGTAGACTATATTTCCACAACAAAATATCCAGTCACACAAAATAGAATCACAATTATAACGTAATAAGACTCAGTTTATTTATTGCTCCATGTTTTATTATTTGTGATGTATGCTTGCCAGTTTGAGAAGATATCTGTTCGAGGGCGAGTAGAGTTACGTTTAAAATTAGAAACACCCAAACCCGATGAAATAAACGCTTGTCGTGAGGTCAGTCAGAGTCGCTGCCGGATTCGGACAGGCAGAGATCATCGTTGAGCACGTCGGCCGGTAACGCCGGGTTGGGGGGCGCGTTGCCTGAGGAATAGAGGAGACATTAAAATCATGTCGTGACCTTCCAAGGATCGTATCTCCAGATTTTCTCAGTGAATTATCCTACTTTTTCTTTTATAGAAAGTATAGATACCGTTAATATTCAATTTAATCCAGTCGTTCTTGAGTTTTGCGCTTGACAACACATTTTTAATTTAATTTCGTAATTTACATTGTATTGATAACGCTGTATGAATGTTCAACACGAAACTGGCAAGTGTCTATGACTGCATTCATCTTAAAAGTATTCTTTAATCAACAATAAAGTGTTTTCACTATTATATATTATTTGCAATTACAATCTTATTTTTATAGCAACAAGAGTGCATTTATTGTGTACATACCGTTGGGTATAGAGTGGTGAGCGCTGGAATCGTTGTCATCACTATCGCTGCCACTATCCGAGTCACTGCCACTCTCACTAGACGAACTTGAAGAACTGTCTTCTTGTTGCTGAGCCTGCGAAAAGAAAATCATTCAACGATTTGTAAATAAATGTTACTATGCTGCAATAATACATATTTATTTGTCTAAGTATTCGGAAGAAATAATATAGATAAAGATAGGCATGGAATGGCCAAGGAATGAGGGGGGGCAGGGGGGATCAGTAAGTAAGAGTCTGAAACTCGCTCTCGCCGTACCCTGGGTGAGAGTCTGAACAGAGAGAGAACGGAACCGAAAAAAATGCAATGACTTTGAAATATTTTTTTGCATTGATTTACCTGGTGATGGGAGACAGGGGGTGGTTGGTACGCGGCGGTAGTATTGTGGTGCCCCCTATCGGGCGGGGGCGCGGGGGCGGGCGCGGGCGCGGGCGCAGGCCGCTCGTACGCGCGCGCGTACGCATGCGGGGGGGGCGCCGCCGCCGGGGGAGGGGGCTGCGGCGCCGGGGCGCCCGCCGGACCTGACAGCGCGTCGTCCAATCCAATCATCGGTAGCGACGCCAGCGTACTATTGCCACCGCCTGACCAACTACAGAAATAATACTATTTAAGAACATATTCTATTAAGATGACTAAGCACTATTATAATTAACAATCTCAAAGAGAAACAAGACTGACATACATATAAATTAATGTAATTATTAAAATGTTTTATAAAACATTAACATCAACAAATGTGTTGATGGAGGGACTCCTGTTGCATTCTGATATCCTTCGAAAGAAAATATTAAAAATAAATCTATTCACATTCGTTTTCTGTAATAATGAAGCAAAAACGCAAGGTAACGTTTTGGTTTGAGACTTACGGCGCTGCCTGTGGAGGTGAGGTCTTCTGTCGCGGTGGAGACCGGACCAATGTGGGCGGCTTGGCCATGTTGCCCGCGCCGTTAAACCGAGCCGCATTATTAGGCTGGGCCGCGCCAGGTACTGTGGGTACGTGTAAAAAAAGAAATTAATTATTACCAATTAAAATATTACTGAGATCAAATCCAATTTATACTATAAATGTTAAAGTTTGTAAGTAGATACATAGATGGATGGATTGATGTTTCTCTTACACGTAAAAACTACTAAATTGATCTGAAAGAAATTTGGCACAGAGACAGTTTAAAGTCTGGTATAACACATAGGCTACTTTTCCTGGTTCTACGAAGGAAACCGGTGGCAAAAACCGTATTATGTTTCAAAAAAGTATAAATTGTCATCCTGTTAATACTTATGAGGCTGATAGTGGCCACAGAGTTATTCTAGTGACGTAAGACTATCACACTGCTTAATTCTATCGATCTATAAAAATACTTAATCTTACCATTTTTTAAAATGTAACCTCATTTTAATAATCTACTATATAAAAATTTGTCGTTTTTTCCTTCCCGCCGCTATAACTCTAGAATGCACGAAAAAATTCAAGAAAACTTTCAACAGAAAAGCGGGAAAATCTTTTTTTTCACATACAGCGCCAACTTTTTTTTTATGTAATAGGTCGGCAAACGAGCAGACGGGTTACCTGATGGTAAGCAATCAGCGCCGCCCATGGACACTCGCAACGGAGGAGTTACGAGTGCGTTGCCTACCTTTAAGATATTAGGGATTTGGAGATTTAGGGATTGAGGAGGGATTGGGGAAGGGGAAGGATTGGGCCTCCGGTAACCTCACTCACACGGCGAAACACAACGCAGTGGTTATTTCACGCCGGTCGAGCCGACCCATTCGTGCCGAAGCATGGCTCTCCCACACTTATTGACATACATCTGGTCTGTATACTAACCTGCGTTAGTGTTACTTCGTCTGTTTGTTGCGACGCGCGTGCGCGACGTGGAGCGTTGCGTAGTGTTTGTGAAATCCGTCGTTACAGGGGTCAGGGGTCGCGGCTTCTGAGTGGTTTCTTGTCTGCGAAAATAAACATATAATAACTCAAACACTGTATAATTCATCAATATCATTATCGTTACGTAGTCGTATAAAGATGTAATAAAAAAAATGTCTTTCTCAAGTCAATTCACAATTTTTCTTTCTTAGCTTTGCCCTACACTAGGATTTTCTCTTATATCGTGAGTGCGTTTACAAATATACAAATATACAATTACACAAACACATCACACCAGACCCGAAACAAAAATTTGTGGATCACACAAAGAATTTTTCCGTGCGGAAATCGAAACCGCGACACGTTGCCCACCAACCATGCAGTCAATTAATTACTTAATCGGATGACGAAAAACAACTATTTAGTTAGTTAACAGGTTTTTTTTTAAATAAGAAAATACTATCGCAGGGATTTTCTACAAAATCTTGGTTGTTTAAAAATGCATACGCATCACACCTGTGAACCACTTCAACAAAGTTTGTTTGACGGCGCTAATAAGTGGAACTGCTGATTCGAAATGAATAATTGATTTTTGTAAAATAGATAGCCGCAACACTATGGGAGATACAAGTGAAATAATGGGGATAGGGAGTTTTGGGGATTCAAGGATTGGGCCTCCGATAACCTCACTTACACGGTTGAACAACGCTGTGGTTATTTCACATCGGTTTTCTGTGTGGTCGTGGTATCTGGTCGAGCCGAACCATTCGTGCCAAAGCATGGCTATCTCGCACTTAGCAATCGCTAGTTCGTTACAGCGAGATCAATGAGGCAATGTAACTGTACAGTTACTGTCTAATTATATAACATTTTTTCTTTTCTTTTTAGAGAAAGGCAAGTGATTCATTCATTTGGCATAGTGCTTTCTAACCGAATTTTTGTGACGTATGTAACAAACATACTTACATGGAACTAATGACTAATGTGCTATTTAGGATGATATTTTGGACTCCGATTTAAAAATCTTCAATACTACTACGGAACGGACAGTTTACCAATGGACATATCAATATACTAAACTGACATAACACCATGTCTTTTTAGCCATAGGGGCATATAAAAATGAGGTGAAGTGAGTCATTCGGCCTGGAGCAGGCGAAGGAACGGTAGATTTTACTACTACTACGAATCCTATTCACCCAATTTTACGTTACTGCGATCTGATTACTCACCTTGTCTTTTTCACTTGTATATTACTAGAGAGCTTCTCCAGAGTAATCTCGCCCGTAACTCTGTCTATGATGAGCACGCAGTCCTTGGTGTAGGGCCTCTGGTTGCCTTTGAAAATTGTCTGAGGTACACCCGCGCCATCTGTTGGGAACAAACCAAATTATAGTTTATTGTTTTGACATATTGTAAAAAAAAATTTATATCCTGAAATTAATTATATCTTCAGTGTCTACAATGGTTTATTATTACTTCTATCAATTGCTAAACAAATATCATTCTTTGGAAATGTACTACAAAATTTAGAGAATATGTATTTCCAGATTTCAGGTATTTTACCAAATGTTTGAAAGCTATGGACATACCTTATAGTAGTCTTTTATAACTTAATTTTGAATTAATTACTTTATTGAGTACGACGTATATCCTCTCCTCGGAGTACGCATAGTAATTTTATTTAATAATTCATTAGCGGTTTTAACAAATTATTTGATACAGGATTTGATTTGATACAATCGAATAATAAGATTCTAACATAATAATATAATCTCTTGTATAGACTACTAGTCAAATTGATATTACAAACATCTTAGTAATTTTCCTGTTGTACAAAGTACAATGAAAATCTATTGAAACTATGTTATGACTACAATGAAAAACCCAAAAATGTTACTGGGAAAATCCGAAATAGAAAAATTATGAATATTCCTTTGATCCCCGAGAACAGTTAGTCAAAGGAAAACGAAAGCCGGTCAAGTTACTATTAAACTTTTTACTTGGTTGCACCCATGCAAGAAGAAATGTAATAATTATAAGCCAAATGTCCATCTGTCCCTACAATGTCTGATCAACTCTGATGGCTATACAATCGAATATTAAAACTATATAATTATATTATACTAATATGTAATCATGCCAATGTTTTCTAAAATACCCTATTAATATATTTGGCTAATGTACATCATTTTTAATTCTTCTTGCACAGGTCCAACAAAAGAAGGAAGGTCAAATGGTGATTTGACCCGCTTTAGTTTTAATATGCGATTGTATAGCCAGAGATGATTAGACATTGTGGTGTTTAGATATGGGACCATAAATATTAGTTGTTGAATAATTTTTCCAAACAAAAAAAAGAACCTAAGTATCAAAATTGATAAAGTTGTTCAGGAGATGCGGTCTTACAAACATAATACTTAAAAATAACTATAATATAATATTATAGATGATGTGGCAAACATTGTTTTGAAATATAAATTATTTTAACCCTTATGGCTTAGGGGTATGAAAAGTAGCCAGTGGCCGATTCTCAAACCTACTGAATATGCATAATAAAATTTGGTAAAAATCAGAAAAGCCTTTTAAAGGAGTAATGAAACTTATAAAATTCTCATGTTTCAAACGTGAGAATTGTATGTATAAAATAAAAAAATATAATTATATATAAATAAATAATGAATACTCACCCAAATGTGGTACAGTCACAGTCACTTGATTATTTGTTCCGACATCAACTGTTGCCATTTTGTTAACATCAACTGATGCTGGCTTGAAGTCATCTGGAAATTGGCAATACACCACCACCATTCTTAATAAAACAGAAATTTGTTTGACCATGCAATAAATTATAATTAAGAATCATGAAATAGGTTCATTATGAGTTCAATCGAGATAAATAGCTTTTAAAAATTAGCATTTTTTAGGATATGTTGTACGTCTTTACAAAAAATATATCAAGTACCTATTTATAGTTGTAGTGAAATAGTTTCAATATGTATTATTAATTGATTAGTGGCCATACATTCGAAGCTGTCTTATAAAACTAACGAACAGTAAGGGACTAAGAAACAAATTTATACTAAGAGTTCAATAACCTTAAATTAAAATGTGTGTTGAATACAATTCATATTTTATTGTAATAGGCAAAGAACACTGGCTGGCCGCCAAGCGAAGGATGTTATAAGAATGTTAATCAAAATTATGATTTTTGAAAAACCAGACCCATATTTTATTTGTCAAAATCATTATTACGATGTAAGTTCATCCAATGCTGGGTGTAAGTATATGAACATAGTAATTGACTTTAAGTAATTTAATACCCGACTATAATATAATGTTACTATTTTCTAGAACTTAACACATTTAATTAGGGAATTTACATTTATACTTACAAGTCTGTAATAATATAATCTCTATGTAAGTAAAAAATCTAAATAATGTTACAAAAATATTACAAAATAGTTGAGTTTGATTGAATTTTCCTTTCATATTCATCCATAATCCCCAAAATGGTAGATGAAGGAAGTGTTTTATGGACATATCATTTTAGAAAGTCCATAATAATATACTGTATAATTTGAGAGAAATGTTGTTTAAATAAATATGTGAAGTACTTACTGTAAAATCTAAAGGCAACTTATTATAGAACTCTTTAACGACAATCTACTTCGTAGTTGAAATAATTACAATTGACTCTAACAGCTATTTAAATACGGATACAGTCCAAATCTGAATTATACAAACTGATAAGACAAGAATTGAAAATTGAATATGATTTTAAATGAATTACATTTAAATCAATACATAGTGATAAAATATAAATTTTGATAAAATATAACTTTCTACAATTTGTTTTTTCTTTGAAGTATCTTAATGATAGATTGTAACAAAAATAACTTGCAAAACTGTTAAACCTTGACTATCCAATTAAAAACTTGTTATAAAAATTTGTAGGTCAGTGTTCACAATATAAGTTTTGAGTGTTAATCCCCATCATGAACAGATTGTGAGAGGTCACTTGACTATAGGCCACCTTTTAAAGACATTTGCCATAATCACCAGGCTTCACAAATGGTTCGAAGATTGTAGTTTAGAAACACTAGGTTACTCAGAGAAAGAATGGCTCTTTAGCTCTGTCTGTGAAGCATAGAAGTTTTAATTCTGTAAGATAATACTTACATTTGATTGTGTGATATTGGGATGCTTTATTGTTAGTAAAACTAGCTCCCAGCTTCAACTCTCTCACATCATAGTTTAGACTATGTTTATCCGCCATTATGACACACGTTTTTCGGCCATAAATATATTTTTTATCTGAAACAAAATAGATTTATATGAATTAAAAAATGCTGTCAGTATGTTTGTAATGTGAATATGTCATAGATGAAACCAGATTGTTGCATATTGTTAACTTAATTTATTATGCAATGCTTAGTTCAATCAAATAGTTCATGTTCTTATCAGTAAATGTCACTTAGATAACTACAAAGATTTCAGTTTAGTTCTTAAGGTAATCTTGTTCATTAATTCACTGTAAAACAGTCGGAAAATATAATTGTTTCTTAAAAGAAAATATTTCTTTCTTTCCTTTATTTTAAAGAGAATAACTGTAAAAATCTTAAGCTGGAGTTAGTTTTTGTTACACTATGAGACAGACAAAATTCTTCTGGTATTAATATACCCAAAAATGTACATGATGTAGCAAATAAAATACCACATGGTAAATAAATTTCTTGAAAAATGTATCTTACACTAATTGTATTCTTATAAACCTAACATCACCAAGACATTAAACCTTTTTTGATACATTAGAGATACAGGGTGTGGCTAAATGCATATTTATGCTTAAACTACTTTTATAACAGTGCTGGTTGTTCATTAAATAAATTGCACCTAGGTAAGTATTTATCATGTAACTGCAATTACAGCCTGCCTACATATTCACTTCCTAGGAATACTATTACTTCTGTAATTAGTAATATTAAAGGCAACTTTATCTAATTTTTTAGATGTGTTTAAGAAGTTAAGGACAATTTTTTAGATTTTCCATAGTATGTTTGATTTATATTTATATTAAATATAAAATATTGATACTTTTGTTTAAAAATCTTTGTATTGAATAAGGTATATATTGTATTACTTTAATATGTACCTGAGGAGACCAAATAAACTTACACCAGGGCTCTTAAATGGATTTTATAATTGGTTTTAGGTTGAATATTTAAAAATTGATTTAATTATTTTTCTCAAGTAAGTACTCAGATATTTTTGAATTTGATGATTTTAATACATGTAGATTTACCTGTAATACAAGTTAATACACAGGTACTGGTCGCTATTATGCATACGTACCTATACATTCACTAGCACAGCTGACAAACTAGGTCTAAATTTTTTTTTCGCCACAACACAGTTTATTTCTCTCGATAATAAAAGTTAATGATTTGAGATTTTAAACAATATTATGCTGCTTAAATATTAAAAATATAAAGTTAATTGCAACATAAACTCATAAAAGAAAGTTCAAATAGATAAAATATGGCAAACAATTTTAAAGACTGAATGATACCCTTACCTTCGATTGATTCTCCACCTAAGTTATATCAAACCCAACTATGTCTCAAAAATAAATGTCATCGTCAGTACGATTTTTAGGTGCACTAATTAGATAATAATTTCATGGAAAAGGGCTCGTTGTAGTAATAAAATAGTCCAATAAGTTAGACATGAACTATTCCTTCGACCTAGTTCCCATGACGTTTAATTTAGAGATGTCGTGTTATCAATTCACTAATCAAGTAGAGTAACGAAAAGTTACTAAAGTATCAATAGTGAAGTCGAAGTTTATTAAAGCCATTTTAAAATTTACTCTTATATTCTATCAGTTTATTTTTGTGTTACTGTTGGCTGGCTTTTTTCACATCGGCCTTTGAAAAGAAATAATAACTATTCATAGTAATGAACCGATGTTAATATAAGTCACAAAATACGGCACTTTGTTACAAGTAAAGGTATGATTGTATTTTAATAATTAATTGTATTAAAAAGTTAAGATTATTTATTTTTCTTACCAAAAGTCGATATGCACAGGGCCGGTTCTAGGGCAGAACGATGGTGCAACCGCAGCGGACGACATCACGATGTGCACCAATACGAAAAGAAACATGAGACAAAAGACAACCGCGCTTTTGTTTATTTTAGAAAGCCGTAATTTTTTTTATTGTACCACCGGTAATAGAGATATGTATTGCCGCTCACTATGTAAAATTATTATTTATCGCAACAGCATTAGTTTTTCTGAAGAACCTAGTTTTAAACCTTAATTTAATTTAAGATAATAAAATAAGCGTAGAAGTTATTTGTTTTAAAATATAAGTAGCATTTCAACTTTTATTCAGTGAAATTTCATCAGTCAAGTCAGGCTTTTAAGAAACTTCTTTCGAATTATTATTTTTTATTCTTAGTTTCATATAATTTTTTAGCTGTTATTATTTATATTCAACCAATAAAAATTGGTCGATCGAAAACTGGGGTGTATGTGTTGGAGACTGTTATGATTTTATATTTTTACAGAATTTCGACATTTATTACTATTGCATATAAAAAACAGGCTAATTATCTCAAGGTAATATGACACCGTATGAAATACATATTAGAAATAAACTCCCGACGACGTCGCAAAAAGGTCGATGTTGTACTACCTTTACCTTGTCCGGTATGGTATAAATGTGTACCCACATAAATAAATAACTATGTTAGAAGTCGTGTGCTTGTTATTTCATTTAAGTCCCTATATAAAATTATTACCTGACCATGTAAATAAAAGGTGACATTCGATCTGAGTTTCAAAATAATAAGTATAAGAGAGAAGAAGTATAATAAGTTTCTTTTTCCAGTTCTGTAAAATACTTTCGTAAAGAGAAACTTAAAAAATATTAAATAACTAGTGACATTAATAAACACCACGCCATGCTATGCTACCTTCTGCTAATGTAGCATCTACCCACGTATTCGTTGTTACGTTAGGGTATGTAGCTTTGCACATCTTCGTAAATTTGAGCTTATACTCAGTATTCTGAAATTAGTAATAGCTCACCTTGTCTTACTTCGTTGTCGTGGGTACCCCACGTAAACGACGAGGTATTGAGGTAATCGACCACTTTTAGTTTAATAGCTAACTGTTTGCTGAATAGTAGTAGATTATTTGTGATCCTGAATTAGAATGATCTGTGGTACCTATGGTACCAAGGTACGTCAATTTCAAAAGTAGTGTACGGAAACCGAACGGACGCGACGCGCGAGATGAACTTGCATTTGTTCTAAAGCACTCGCTCTGAAGTTCGGGTAAACACTGAGCCCAAAGCCACGAAGAGCGTCTAGGTTCTAATTCTAATGCACCGATAGTACGACGACGTACGTCTCCCGCACTGCTTTAGCGGTCAGTTCTCTCTTGCAGCAGATGTTTGCATTCGATTTTGAAAATGGTAATAATGTTTGGAGTGCACATTATTACGGGTTATGGAATCTGGATTGTAGTTACATTGTAGATACGTAGTTTACACTTTTATGTGTGTCGTTAAATTCCAAAATTAAAACTGCATCTGTTTGGATCTCGTTAAGAGATATATGTGTTGTACTATTTATTTAGTAACCTTTATTGGGCATCACTTGTTAGAAATCGTATGTCAATTTGTCAAAGTCAAATGTGTGGCTGTCAATGTCTATTTCAACTTTTGAACTTGAAGGATGAAATGAAATAATTTTGTATACTAACTTGATTGCAATTTATTTCCACGTTTCTTTGTTGATTTCGTTGCTATAGGCCCGGTTCCTTAGAAACTAAACAATATGACAAAAAAGTCAATTACTTTAGACGTCGATCCAACAATCATGGAAAAGAATATGCGGATTGTACGAGTAAGTTTTAGTATGAATTTATATAAACAACACACACAATTTCAATTTGTTATAATTTTTAAATTACATTGTTTAATTTTAGGAAAACCCCGTCGAAGAAGAATTCAACAAACTTCTATCAAATGTTGAAACTATACCGTCAAAACTCGTGAAACCAACGCCAGGTAAAAATTATCTTATTAAATTTGTAGATTTAAGTTTAAATCAGGAAACACATACATTTATTTAGTTACCCAAAAAGGCCTGAATGCACTACAGTCTGTTTGTTAACTTATCTCACGTGCTTCACTCAATAATTATTATTACAGGCTTTTGCGTGAAAACATTTACAAAACCAGAGGGAAAAAAGGTATTTGTAAACATATGCCTGACTGATGCGATTGTTTGCCCTCGGGATATTAGTAATGAGGAACTTATGCAAATCCTCAGTTCTGAAGATCCTTCTTCTTATAGAGTCCCTATGAGTATTGGCGAGGGTAGGACTGAAGCAGACAGGTCTGGAGCTCCTGCCACAGTGTATGACGTTGCTATAAACCCAGAATTCTTCAAAAAAATTGAGAAGGATGACTTATTCCAAACCTTTTTCCTCACTGTTGTCTTTGAGGGTTTGCAGGACAAGTATCAATTTGAAATAGATATGCAAAAGTACACTGTTTTGAAAAATAGAAAGTCTATTGGTACATTACAATGCCACAGAATTCAAATAAGGGATGTGAAAAATAATGAGAAGGTGACTAAAAGTCCTTTAATTGAAGAGTTGGATGATAAAGGTGTTGTACAAAAGCCTAGTGTTCCAACAATGAAGAAGGAATTAGAGTACCGATTGAGAAGGGAACCACCTACAGGAGAGATTGAATACTTGTTGGCAGAATTCAAGATACCTTCTACTGTAAGTCCATTCTTATATTGAGAATAATCTTACTTTAAAAATGTCTTAAATGCATAAGAATAACTTGACCATTATGTTTGCCTTTTTAGTTCGGTGTATATTAAATGTGGAGGAAGAATAATTTGTGTCCCTTTTCTTCATGCTAGAATTGTTGAATTATTTTATACTATTAGTTATTACAATTAAATATATATTATTACCTACCTACCTACCTACCAATACCTTGCTATACAGTAAGATATCTTCATATTGCAGAGTCAACATTTATTGATACAAACATTTTGTATGTTACAGGTGAATGTAAAAGACTTAAGTTTGGAAGTAGGTGAGGATCGGTTGGTTCTAGATTGCAAAGGGCAGTTTGAAATGGTGGACTTCTTCCTGCCTTGCAGTGTCGACCAAGACATCATTGATGCCCAGCTTAATAGAAATGATGATGTAAGTAAAATCTCTAGTAGCTCTTTAATTTGTAAACAAAAAATATACCCCCTCTACTATTTTCTCGCGCTTACAGACAAAATTACACCATAATTACACATAATAAACATGACACCAAGAATTGCGGGAATCGAACTCGCGATACATTGTCCCGTAGCTGGTTGCTCATCTACCGCCACAATGAGGCACCGCGACCTCGGCCCAGAGCAGGAGAAGGAACAGGGGGGTTTTTAGTCAGTAAAAGTTTGACACTCCCTCCCGCCCGGCCCTGGGCGAGAGAAGTGATTTGATGAGTTTCCCCTCACAAAAAAAACCGCGACAGCCGTGTTTCTTTTCAGAACAACTGTATTAATTAGCTATTATAAGTCGATTCTGTATTTGTACATATACCTATGTGTGCCAATATTATAAAGCTGAATAGTTTATTTGCTTGAATAGGTTAAGACTAACCTACAGGTTCATTTTTAAAGGCTATTCATTTTTTTGGGTAGTCTGTTCATTGAGAAAGACTTATGTTTTATGCTAAAAAACTTCATGCTGCGATCAACAGACCAAGCAGCAGGTGATAAAGAGCGGGTGCGGTAGTTATAATAATAACTAAAACTTTTACTTCACTACCTACTTTAAGACATAGTTTGGGTGTGGCCACAAGAGCAACTACTGAACATCCGGCCGAAAATATTATTGTTCTTTTCTTGGTAAACCCAATGTAATTTTACTCATATAATGTTTGTTTTCAGATGCTGTTTGTGAAAATGCCTGCAATACATTAGATAGAGATACCTTATATTTTAATTGTTAAAGCTTGAAGAAGAATAAAACGATTTTATTATTAAACATCTTTATTTTATTTGTTGGTCAATTGGTTTAGTAAAAATACAACTTGGAGACAGTAGTCAAAAGGATTAATATTAAAAAGAATATTAATTACCTATCTATTATAGATAAATAATATAATTAACTGTCTATTTGTACTAGTATTGGCTCAATATAAAAAGGCACTATTTAGTTAGACAAAATTCTTGCTACAAAATAAAAGCTAAACTAGTTTAGCAGAAAGGAATGTTCATACTTATATATTTTTTTATTATTCAGTTGGCAAAAGATTTCGTGTATGTATGTATTCATATACAATAATTCTCTATGTTAGTTAAATTCAGTCTATAGTTAGCTATAATATCACATAAGTTTACAATTAATATTATTACATATAAAAAGAGATAGGAAAAGAGATTTCATTCAAATAATAAAAAATCACGAGATTTGAAACTTGATAGCTGCGAGATGCAGGTTTAATAACATTATTACATTAAAAAAAAATATCAAAATCATAAGTACATCTTCATTTGATAATAGTAGGTAATATTAGAGTGGAGACCTAATGAATAGATTAGCTAATATTATGATGGATGTAATTGATTGATGAAGTAGGTATTGTTATTTTATAAATTGGAATTTAAATTAGGGCTTTAGTTCCCAAAGCAGAAAGAAAGTGACTACTTTACTAAAAATTAAAACCTCAATGTTGATTTCAGTGATACTTACAATAACATATATACCATTTTTTAGTTCATTTCTAAAACCAGCTTTGTTCGATTTTGCAAAAATCACAATGGCAATAGCGACACTGGAGTGATTGTTACTCCAATGTTATAATACTATGTTAAATCATAAACTGCATAAAAAGTTGCTAGCAATCTAAATGCTCAAAATAAGGTCGAGATAAAATGACTCCAATATAAATTGTAAAAACATTCACTAATCACATTACAATTTTAAGAACAAATAAAGCTTTATATTAAAATAAATGCAATTGTTAAAAATAAAGAAATACAGTAGAACAAATATTAGTTACGAAATAATTACAATAGTACAAAACAAGATGAACTACTCACTGAATTTACGAGAACTTAAAAGTAACATAGAGTAATATTTAAAAAGATTTTATTACTTCTTAGAAGTAATTTTTTTTTATCTATATGGCAGTTACTATAATACCATCTCTCTTGTTATGGAACAAGAGTGGAAAAGAAGTAAAAAGTCGTACAAGAAATGGGAAGGCATGAAAATCACGAGGAAAATAAATGTTGGATTCGAATGTATAGAATAGAAGATTAAAAGACAGAGGACGACTATAGACAGGATGGATGAAAGGTAAAAAGTAATATGAAAGAAAAAAGCTTATTGTGATAGAAATGGGGATTATCCATACTCCCAGTGCCGGCGTAAGGGCCACTGACACCCCGAGCGAAAATATCGAGGCGCCCACTTGAGGGAAACAATATCAAATGTTACATTTTTGATCTGATCCCAAATAAAAAAAAACCCTAATAAAAATATGCATATGCACAGAGCTTAGAGCGCAGTTCTGATAGTGTTTGCACTAGGAGAGGCAAGAAACTCCAACTTCAGACCTTGACACCTCCCAGAATTTGTCGGCCTGGACCATCGCCCCATCACGCCGGCACTGCATACTCCAAGCAACTTGGAGTAAAGGTAGCAGATATATGTACTAAAATATTATAGCTGGTACATAAAAGTAGGTATTATCCGAATAGACAGATTAATCAATGATTGATATTTAGACACATAGGTACAGTAAAAGGGCAAACCCTAGGCTTTCAGTATAGTATCACAAAATATTCTAAACCTACGTTTACTATAAATATAAAAAATAATAATCTTGTATGGTAACAAAACTTTAAATTGTGATAATTAAATTGATTTAAATATTAGTACCTAAGTATGCGAGATGTGATTCGAGTTAGCCTCAATTTTAAAATCTAATTGACAATTTGATCTACTTATTGCTAATTCTCAGTTTCATATTTCCAGTTTTTGCGTAGTAAAATAGGCTTTGTGATTAAAGGTAGGTGAAAGGTTTCTGATTTGTTCACTGGGGCACGTAGTAAAAGTTGTTCAAATTAATACAACACTCGATATAAATATGTCATGCCCCATTTGTTTTTAAGCAAGTTCAATAACAATATTACAAAACTAAAATAGTTACAAGTTTACTGTGAACCAGAAATATTCAAAGTTTAGATGGATTTTAGACAACAATAATATGAAGAAGGTCCTAATAAATATTCGAGATTCACATCAATGTAAACTGTATGACTAGCCCATAAAGTTTTTTATTTTTAAACTGGAAACATGAAAATGAGTTTGTTATTTCAAAGGAGATTCAACTAGAATTCATCATGATTTATATGTATACTTTTTCTAACATTTTGTTCGATACCTGCTAGTAAACTTTCATCATATCTTCTTATATGATATTTTACTTCTTTTAGGACAGTTTCATAGTCTTTGAGAGGTATATTGATGACTGTACTGAACCTTTGACGCTGGTTTCTGCTGAGATATAACTTAAGGGTAGGATAAGACATTATTTGCTCCTGTTGGCAGATACCACGTTCAGAAATGCAGTTCACTCGCCCCATATGTACCGCGTTGTTTAGGAACTGAAATAAACAATGTTTTTATTTTAATTTAGGTAATAAGTTTGTCATGTTGTTCCTCGTTCTCTGAAATTAAGGATAGAAATATATATGTGTTTAGAAGATATAATTATCATTAGGTTTATCAATCGCAAAATATCCACTGTGGAATGGACGTCCTTTTATGATTCCAGATTGGCGTGTTGAAAGCGGCCTGCTTCCTGTCTATATGCTACCTTGATCTGCAGTCACAGACTTTTACAATATATCTTTACCAGTCAATAAACCTACTATGTGCATATTATAAACCTAGTTTCTCATTATCACAGACCTTTTCTACTCCTGTTACTAAAATCACTCTTCGATATTTTTCTAGGTTTTCACATTCATGTGGCACCTTGATGATCATCACCAGCCTGAACACCTTTTCTGAAGTGCCTCCCTCTCAGAGGTCTGCCATAGTCCCCGTACTTGGCAGACGACTTATGGATCGTAGGTATAGACAATCATAATGTAACATTTTGTAACTACTTTGTCTTGATCCTGATTATGTAATCCTTACTAGTGTAAGACTAGCGAAAAGCTTTCTCTTAGGGTAAAGGGTAGCTATTCCATGGAGAGTGGGAAAATTTATTCCACTAGGCATCTTCTTAGCCCCCAAAGTTTACCCCATAATGTACAGTCAATCGAGTTATTCAGTATGCAGATCAGAAAAATCTTTATTTTCACTACTGTGTTAACTAATTTAGTATACCCACAAAAATCAGTCTCTGTAGGTACTGAATCAGTTGTTAATTTTTTTATCTGATAACGAAATTACTTTTTGGAGGGTAGGTACATACAACATATGTATTATATTAAATGTATTGAGATGAAGGTAACATAACAAAACATGTATAAAACTTAGAAAGTAGGAATAAATTTTCCCACCATTTACATGGAAGGCTCCTATAAATTAGGACTTACATAGCCAGCGATTGCAAATGCCGGATACTTCTCATAGCAGGCAAAACATCTTGGGGAATGGAAATATACCAGCCAAGGTTTCCTTGTTCTGCAATACACAATCATCATCAATAATGGAAGAAGTATGAATGTGTAGTGGAGATGAGTTTTTTAAGTTGGTATGCATGTAAATACTTTACTGTTTAATGCGATTTATTAACACGTACCTTTTTTGTTACTAAATACTCTCACGTTGCTCAGCTCCTACAGATCATAGCGTGATGTTTTATAGCCTATAGCCTTCCTTGATAAATGGACTAACAAACACAAAAATATTTGTTAAATTCGAACCAGTAGTTTCGGAGATTAGCGCGTTCAAAAAATAAACAAAGAAACTCTTCGGTTTTATAATGTAAAAAATGTAAGTATAGATTTGCTTGAAGTTTCAGCAGGCAGGGTTACACCTTGCAGACTTGAGTCTAATTGTGACCATGGCAGGTGTAATCCTTAATAGCAAATAAGAAAGGTCCGTGCGCGTTAAATTCCTTTAAACAGTAAAGTATTAATATGAAACGTGAAAGTTTGAAGTATAATATGGTATGCATGTATGAATTAAAAGATTACTAATGGTGAGAATTGAAACGTTATGGTTTAGTTATATTGTTAGAAGTTAGAAGAAGTATGAAAGAGTTAAAAGAGAAGAGAGAGAAAGTTGTCAGTGGGGGGAGTTTTTCAAGCCAAAAGCTTCCTCCGTCAACTAGAAGGATTTGGTGTACCTATGTGATGAAGAGATAAGCCAGTATTATGTTATTTGGTGTTCTATTGTCTTTTATCTACTTCAGTGGGGATTATGTATATCTTTATGCCACCAATACCCAGTTGGATATTACCATATTGTATCATAGATGGGATCTATAATAGTTCTGTGCTACATAAAGTTATCGGGTACTTATAAGACGACAGTGAAACAAGCTCTTGGTGTAAGTTTTCAATAAACATTTGATCTTAATGTTGTAGCGCCTCATGCATTATTGATTACATATTTCATTGATTTAGATACAATTATGACTAATCTTGGAAAAACAAAGTCAAAGAATATCTTAAAAATTATCCATCAGTTTGCTGCTTCAAAAGATTAAATTTAATGTTATATTTATAAAACATTTTCATATTGGGTAATATTTAAAAAACCCACGTGGTAGGTATTTTGATAAAAAATAGCTTATGTCCTATTCCGGAGTTAATCCCATGCCCGTGGCAAATTTCATCCAGACTCGTCCAGCCGTTTTGGCGTGATGTGAGTGACACACATACAAACATTGTAACTTTCGCATTTATAATGTTATAGTAAGATGAGATTTTCCAATGCCATGTAGATTATACGAGTAGCGAAACACCACAAAAACCAAATGGAAGTTTTAGAATGAATGTAAATGTTAGTAACAATTCTCCATCAGTGTTGAATTATTCTGTGAATGATGTGCATGCGTGCAATTACTCGTATAACATGGATGTATGAGTCATGTCATTAATAATGGGTTTTATGTTCATGAAAAATAGGATCTGCTATTGGTCAGAACGAAATTTCGTTATGAATTTATTTTCTCATAGTCTTAGTCTACGAAAACCACAACGAATACAAAATGTCCGTCAATGAATTGAATGAAAAAATTGTAGTTTTATAATAACGAAATTACGTTGCGAAGTTTTATAGTAGGCCTCAAAATGTAAAACACAAAACAGTCAAGCTGATGATGAGTCTATCAACAAGAGATGTTAAATTAGACAAACATATTACATTACTAATGGCCTACTCCAAATTAAAAAAAAAAAAATAAAACGGTGAGCTAAACATGGTAACATTTTGATAGTAGTAACATTTTAACGTAAAAAAACCTCAGAAAACTAAGTTCCGTGTGGGAATCGAACCCACGACATATTAAGAGTTGGTAAAAATGTTACTATTATAAAACATTAGTCAAAGAAAATGTAAAGAAACCTTACCCAGTAGGATTTAACTCTTCAGCGATGACTTTCTTTGAGAACACCTGCCAGTTGAGTTTTTGTGCGGAGTCGACAATATGCTCGAGTGCCCATTCCACCATGTAGGGCGCTTGTCCCAACTCTTGTAGATTGATACTGTAATAAAAAAAACGTTATAATTACGAAAAAAAAAACTATATTTTCTAATTTAAATACAAGAATAGTATGACTTTTTATTTGCATTTGATGCTCTAAAAATATATATTTTTTATAAATTGTTACATAAATATGTTCATTTAACACATATATACTTTCATTATTAATTAAAAACTAATCCGACATTGTGAAATAGGACAGATCAGGCCCCAAAATGCCGATAACGTATTTGTAACTCCACTGCACACTATTTTAGTAGTACTTCGTCTCATTAATTAGCTAATACAGTAGTTTCCAACTAATCAAATTCAATACTTTTATACAAATGTCAAAAACGATTTAACGATTCTATCAAATTTCATAGCAAGGTAGCTATGAAATTTGATAGAACTACAAATTATGGCGTCATAGTATTTTTGGGTCAAATAGTTTACTTATTTCTTAAAAAAATAGCTAAAAAATAACGACAATTGTATAGACAGATCTATGAATAAAAGTAGTCATTTTTTAATATTTTATTGTATTGAAACGTCTAATTAATTTATTGTTACCTAGGAAACTACTCAATTACTCTATGTTTCATATGTCGTTTTGTTTGTAAGTTCTATGATTTTTCTACAATGGACGACACCGATTGCTTTACCGCTCAGAATGTAATAAGTATAATAGATATTGACGAACCTGAAGTGGTCAGTAGAAGCGACAGGATATATCCGTGCGGTCGGCCAGCGGATGTTGGCGCAGAACTCGGTCGGGTTGGTCGCGCAGTTCAATATGCCCACGCGCACAAACTTCAGAGGGCGTAACTGAAAGGTATACAAAATAGAATATAATTTCCTGTGAAGAATACTCATCCCTCCCCCTCCTCCCACACACATGCGCACCCACCCCTTACCCACACTACATACATATTTTGGTATTTATAGTGTTTATTTAGTTTTAGATAGAGTTAGATAGTACTGTTTTTATGGTGTACAATAAAGTGTCAATAAATGGTAAAAAAAAATAACAAACCGGTCCGTTATGTTATATTAGGATTAAGATTTTTGGTAAGAATTAGTTTTATTATCTTTTATTACTATATATTGAGAAAGAATCTATATATATACTTATAATAAATCGGTAGAGGTCAATTCTGTACATTAAATATATTTTCATAATAACTACCAGGGGGTGATAAGTGATCGATACTGATGCCAAAAATGCAATCAGTAAAATTTTTGTCTGTCTGTCTGTATGTTCCTTATAGAAACAAAAACTCGATAGATTTTAACAAAACTTCGTACAACTATTCTTTACATTCCTGGACAGGTTATAGGATACCTTTCACCACGCTACAAATAATACGAGCAGAGCAGTGAAGGGAAATGTTGGGAAAACGGGATGAGTTACTCCCTTTTTTAAGTTTCCGTCGCGTGCGTAGCCTTAATGGTTAAAGTTATATAGAAATTATGTATGACATAAAATTGACATAAAATTATACTTCGATTTTGTTCTATTAATATAGGCTACTTTTTATCAACACACATAATAAAACACAAGAAGAGATAAACAAGAAAATTTTTCACGTGGCAATTTCTTGGTATAGCTAAGCTAGGCAAGCTATTTTTGTCTACGACTATCTGCAACGAACAGGAGATAAGTATTTGGTTTTCAGCCGGGGTTGCGGGGTAAGCGCAATGAGGTACCGCGACCTCGGCACAGAGCAGGAGAAGGAACAGGGGGGTTTTTAGTCAGTAAGAGTCTGACACTCCCTCCTGCCCGGCCCTGGGCGGGAGAAGTCATTTGATGATTTTCCCCTCACAAAAAAAGAAAAAAAAAGTATTTGGTTCCTCACCTTTTTAGCGACGACCATCCACTCGTAGGGCAGGTTATCGCAAGTGTACCCACACATTTTCCCCGCCGGCACGAACGCAATCAGCCACGTATACTTGCGCGACGACACGTGCATTATCTCCAAAAGTTGTTGCTCGCTTAGTTCAATATCTGTTGAGGAATTATATTTTATACTAGTTGACCCGACAGACTTCGTCCTTCGTGAAAACGTTTGTATGTGAAAAAGAAAAGGGCTGTTTTTAGGGTTTTACCGGCAATTATTCGATTTTTCTCGCCGTAAGAACCATTCTTGGATTTCAACGAACATCTTAAAAAAATAATTCACTAATTTGGTCCAGGCATTGTAGAGCGCTTACCAACACATTATGCGATTCATTTTTATATTATAGATTAATCTTTTTTAAACTAGGACTATATGTATAAGTACCTACCTACCACTTAAGTTTACGTTGTGGAATGTTAACAAATATTGAGTAGTGAGGACTTTTTGTATCGTGGGTGCGTTTATAAACATACAGTTTCACTAATGTACAAATCACACACAGACTCGAAAGAACAATTTGTCTATCACACAAAGAGTTGTTCCGTTGCTAGGCAGTTTAACTTTATCTATACTAATATTACAGAGGTTAAATTTTTAACTTTGTAAGTTTGTATGTAGGGGGTAATCTTGGAACCGCTGGTCGAATTGCCAAAATTCTTTCACTGATAGATAACTACAATGATCCTGAGTGCTATAGGCTATACAATATCACGCTGCGATTAAATGAAGCCGAGCAGCGGGTAAAACCGCGCGAGAGTAGCTAGTATCATATAAATACACTTACCTTGGCTATTGACAGCCATGTCGATGAAGTCCGTCATTAAAGTCCCGTAGTCCCGCTTCTGGTACATTTTGCGTTTAGCTCCATGTTGTATTACCACGACGGGATGGTAGGAAACTTGTGTGCAGTACTTCGCTGTTTTAGCAGTGCACGACATTATGCCGAACTGTAGAAAAATGTACTTATAAGTTACAATGTAATAGGAATTTGTTAGTTACTATTAAATGATATCTGGCATTGTGTATGCCCCCTTATACGCACCCCTGCCTACCCCTTCAGGAGTAAAAGGCGTGACAGATAAACTGTTTTATTTTTTATTGGCTAGGTCGGCAAACAAGCTCGCTAATAATTATTAGATTACTATCAGTAAGAAAGCGGAGCTACCCATGGATACCACCCGTATTCGAGTTACAGTTAAGGGGACGTCGTCGGTCTTTTGGGGTTACGGTTTTAAGGATCAGAGAAGTTGGGGGAAGAAGAGGGTGGGGAAGCGAATTAACATTTTCGCTAACTAGGGATTTGGAGATTTTGGGATTGGGGGAGAGGTTAGGCCTCCGGCAACATCAATCACAGGGAGAAACTCAACGCTGTAGTTGTTTCGCCGTAAGTCGCTGTAAGAGAAGAAGTATCCATTTACTTAGTTCTAAAAAAAATGTTTTGCAGTACTTACGTTAACGTCTTTATTGTCTAGGTAATCTAAACTCGCTTGCGTGAATGGTTCGATGATGTGTTCCCATTGAGTGCCGTACGGAGCCAGGAGTAATACCCAGACACTTGAGTCCTCTGCAAATTAGTATAGATACATTGTGTAATGACAAAATCTAGGCCATTTAGTTATGATCAATTATGTAGGTTTCTAGGTACTTTATAAAGGTTTACTTTAAAAGGAGAAGGGAAAGAAAGAGAGAGTGAGAGAGTAAAGAGCTCACCTGAAGGGGTGAGAGAGAAAGACAAAAAAATATCTCTTCTACGTTATTGGTGAATATAATGGGAGTTTCCTAGGTCAAAAATAAATTAATTCGACGTTTCAATACAATAAAATATTGTAAAATAACTATACTTTCATTCATCGATCGATTGATATACTAAATTATAGAATATTTTAGCTAATTTTAAAGAAATAAGTAAGCTATTTGACGTAAATATACTATGACGTCATAACTCAGTATTTCATACAAATTTCATAGAAAAGTATCGTTTTGACATTTGGTTAAAAGTATTGAATTTGATGAGTTGGAAACTACCGTATTAGAAGTTTGTGTTTTTCTTGGGGTCGAAATTTTATCCTGTTGTAATCGAAAGGATTCTCCGATAAGAAATAAACAATTGGTTGATTTTAAGTCTGAAATGCTTGTCGATTAAATTTTAATAGTTACAGTGCCCATATTCATTTAGTTTACATACTTAAAGGATTGAGTAATTTATAAAAAAGGTAACAACACAAGGTAAACCACAGAGAAATATAACATAAGATAATGAAAACTACATACCTCCATTCAGTATCCTTTGTAGATCTGTAGGCGACAACGTATGGAGGTTCAGTGCTGCAGTAGCGGTTGCAATAAAGTCTCTTACGTCAGCATCCGGAGGGATCGTTGGTAGACTCCCCCCTTTTTCATCACCCCCCAAGCGGGTGCGGTCTCAACGTGTAGTGACGCGCATAATTCTGGCATTTTGTCGCAGTTTATTTCACCTAGAGTAAGAATTAAATAAATAAATTATTTACATGGTAATTCAATTTGAGATTGGCGAATCAACTAGTCAAGTTTAGATAATGAGTAAGTAAGGTAAAAACTATTACATTATTTTATTATAGATAAATAAATATATTTCATTATTATATTACTACTACATTATCATAATGTTTTATTTGGTGATGGGAGAATCATCAGTTTATTTCTAGCGTCTTGCATAGGGCAAGAGATAGTATCAGATTCTTATTGACTAAAAACCTCACTGTACCAACTAGTGTTCTGAGCCGAACCTGTCGTTTGCCACGATGAGTTAAGCGAATAATAAATATTGTTTATAACAATGTAGGTACTTGTGACAAGGAGGAGGAGGAGTTACTACAATTGCGTTGAGGGGCTTTTGTAAGTTATTGGGCATTTGAGGATTGCTTTATATAACTTACCGAAATTCATATCAGGGAAAGCATTAATCATTTGATGCAGCTGCAACCTGTTCTTGTTCTTGGTCGAGAAGAATAACGCCCACATCTTTTGCGAGCCGGAACGTAAATTGTTCCTGATTTTCTGTAAAGGAACACGTAAAATATATTATAAAATATTAAACTATAGGTTAAAATAGTATTTTTATATATATGTGTAATTAATAAGCATGTCGATTCAAACAATATTGGTCACTACTTAGGCCGCTATCCTTATCCTGTCCCTCTAGGCGTTTTACTAGCGTTGACGCGACGTAACGCCGCGTCGTCGGGTGGCAAGCATTAACGTCCGCTGAACGCGAAGTTAACGTCGCGTCTGCGAAACGTTAACCTGCTCTATCAAATGTAGTCTTTGGCATACACTTGTTGCCAATATTATTATTTTTTTATATTTTTTTTCCATTTTTTTTTTGAGTCTTTCTGATTTTAAGTCGATTTTTTATTGTGTCTTATTGAATGAAATACATAAGCACGTACCTTAAATTTCTCCGGCCCAATAACTTCAACTTTGGGTAAATAACGAACAATATCCTCTACTATTTCCGTTTCGTCGACACTCTCAATCTCCTTGGTGACATCCTTGTATTTGTATACCACTGTCGCGTGCTCATTGGACGTCAGTCTTCTACGAAGATCCTCATCTTCAACTATGGCGAAGGAAACCACACTATTCTGAAAGGAGGAAAAATGTTTAGAAACTTTTACTTAAAAAATAACCTGCATTAAAACTTAAAGTTTTTAAAGTTAATACTTATGTGATTCTTTTTTATTAATTTATGGTATTGAATAGTCAGAATACTCAATTTATTTTTGGACTAGGAAACAACCCAATTCCCTATCTATACTCGGAATTTTAATTCCATTCCAGATTTGACAGTTTCAGTGTTGCAACGTTATGACACGTTCTAAATAGTGACGTTGCGAAATTAATCGATATGGAAATCGAATATTTCTGAATCGATTCCTCTCGTTTATAAATTTACTCTCGTAAACTAAGTTTATCAGGAAATGAAATATTTCTGAACCGATAATTTAGTTTTGACAATTAATTGACAATCTGAGACTTTATTTTTGTAATTGTGTCTGAAATTAATAAAAAATGTGATCATGAAGGAACATGACAAATAAAACAGTCATTTTATAAATTGTCGCCGTCATCGCTATCGCTATCGCTGTTACTTTCTGTAACATTTATTGGGAATTGTGTCAGTGATATTTATTGTCAATTAACATATGTAGCTTACTCATTTTTTCCTCTTTTTTGACCACATGGGATACGCATTTAGACCATTCTGTAGCCGTAAATTTTTGAATGCCTTCCTGAAACTGATTCACCGGTTGTTTATCGATTTTTGTGTTTATCACTACACTGTTATAAGTGGTATCATTATTTCACAAAATGACAGTAGGTCATGTCAAATCAGGAATAGAATTAAAATTCTGACTATAAGTATGTAATTAAACCCCGTGTTAGCCATAAACAATTTGTTATGTTGATTTTTTTTAGGTCCACCAGTTGTTTTTACCTTTTAGACACATAATTTAATAATACGTTTCAGGTTGTCTTAAACTATTGTCCAACTTTTAAAAGCAAACACAGCATGCATTATTCGTATAGCTTTATAGAACAGACAGATTGAATTGACCTCTAGACTTCAAATATAGAACATACATAAAAAATAAAAAAGCAATTATAAACACATCCAAAATGATTACTTACCAAATGAAAAGCGATTCTCGTAAGATCATCCTTCTCGATCATCGTGGACCCTAGTATGTATGCCATACGTTTATCCTTGCTTCTGAGCTGGTCTATGGTAGGTATGTTGATATGGTTGCGTAGGAACATCATGATGTATTTGTCCAAAGAGTCCAGTTTTAAATCCCCATTGTAGTAGACGACGCCACCTTTTTTGCCCTGTAGATTAACATTAATTTATTAGGTTTTAATTTAAATTCACAGACACAGCACATTTCATTTCATTTAACCTGCTATAATATATAAATATAGAGATGATAGCAATTTATTTGGATCCTGATATTTGCTAATACTGCAACCAGCCTTGTGTAATCGACATTGTGGCTAAATATGCTTATGAATTTATTAATGTTGTTGAAGTATGTTCACTCATAACTGTACCAAATAAAATATTTTTTTTTGTATTGTCCATAAATATATAACGTTTGTATAAAAAAAATCTGAAAAAGTAACACTTGCGTTTGTTTCGCTGTGTGGGTGAGATGACTAAAAGCCCAAAGTTTCCCCCAATTCCCAATCCTCAATATGCATATGCCCCAAAAAGCCAGATCGCTTGCAACTGGTCTATTTTGCCAATGAATATGGGCTGCGCCTATTGCTTTACGTCAGGTCAGCTCGTTAGCCGCCCTATTTTATAAAACAACTTATTAGTAAAAAGGTACTTACATTAGGATAAAACAGAAGCGATGGATGACTGTGTATATGCATTCGGTTGAAACAAAACTGAGGCTGGATTTTACAATTCACAGCTGCTATATTAACCTGAAATAAAAGTATTGAAGTTGATTTATTTATTGCCTCTTTGGTCGAATCGTCGCAAATGCAAGCGAGTAAGGATAGTAAAAGTGTGGGAGAGCCATGCTTCGGTATGAATAGGCTGGTTCGACCGGAGTGATACTGCAGCCTCACAGAAAACTGACGTGATGCAACACTGATGTTGTGTTTCGCCGTGTGACTGAGCTTATCAAAGACCCAATCGTTCCCTTCCCCCTATCCTCAATCCTCAAATCCCTAATAACTCATGAGAAGCCGGCGGCAATGCACTCGTAGTAACTTCTTCGGTAAAACGAGTATTCATGATTCACCGGTTGCTTAACATCAGGATCGTTAATCGACCTATGCCCAAAAACAAGGGATAAAAAGAGACCTCGACTTACAATTCCGTTATACATTTCTGCTAGTTTCTTCCAACTGCTTGCTAAATTGCGGCAAGGCGGACAGAACGGCGAATAGAAGTTAATGAAGTAGAAACCACTCTTCAAGTAGTTTGCTGAAATATATAAATGTGAAATGAAATATACATAGATTCAGACACATACAAGTTTTAAAAACATTAATATATGTGAACTTTAACATACTATTACTCTGTGTTTTGTTATTAATAGTAGTATTGCTAATTAAATAAACTTTCTGGATTTTCGTGGGTGGTTATATTAGAATGAAATTGCTGTTCTGCAGTACTGGCCATTTCAAATCAAAATAGTTTGTGTTAGGCTAAGGCTAATTAATTTTGTTTTAAAAACATGGGATTCTTTTTCTAAAAGTAGTCATTTGTTTATTGATTATTGATTATAGAAATAAAAAAAATCGTTTAAATTTTTTCATGCAAAATGGAAATTCCATAGTAAAGACATACATTATAAATATGTATGAAAAAAAATATTACATAGTTTTAGCATCAGCCTGCATATAACAATATAATGACAAGTTAACTACAATTTATATTCAACTGTTTCTTCCCACTCACTTCATTCATAAAATGGGTCAAGAACCATTTCAATGAAATGTATTAAACAGGCATATATAACAGTGTTAGATAAGGTTGTTAGTAGTTCTATTTCTACCGTACTGGTAATCTTTAAATGTTAATAGGCACTGGCTTTTGCCAGCAGTTTGACCTGCTGCTCAGCTCCCATTGGTAGTAGTATGATGTAATTATCTATACTAATATTATAAAAAGGTAAAATTTTTAATCTTTGGAACCAATTGTCAGATTCCCAAAATTCGTTCACTGGTAGATAGCTACAATATTCCTAAGTGTTATAGGCTATTAAACATCATCCTACGATCAAATGGAGCTACGCAGCGGGTGAAACCGCGTGAGAGTAGCTAGATATAGATATACTTAGCCATCCTTTATAAATGGACTATCTAACACAAAAATAATGTTTTTATTCAAATTATAGTACAGGTAGACAGATTATAACCTTTGTTGTAATACAGTTAATAACATAATAATACAATCTAGAGAAAAATAGAAGTCAGTAGAAAGACCACATGCATAAAGTAAATAGTTGATAAATAAAGTAACATATTTTTTTAAATTAGGTATTCTAACTAATAATTATTTGAGACATATTTTTTATTGCTTTAAAACATATTTTATATTTTGAATAATTGTTTTTTTATTATTATTATTTGCATAATAGCATTTACATTGGACTGTCATGGTATTTTTAATTTTATTTTTATCTACATACTGTCTTTTTTCAAAGTCAAACTAGCAGACACAGGCAAACTGTGTAAAGAGATGACTGAAAATAAAAGAATGATATAATAGAGTCACTGAAATGTTTGTGTTTATAATTCTTCTTTTAAATTAAACATCTCAAATTACCAATATTGCCATTTTTAGCCTTAGGTTACCTTTTAAATCTCAACACTACAATTTGGATGAATTGACTAATCAACATAAATAAATGGGTAATAGTAGAGGCCTAGTCTTTTCCTAAAAGTAAGGGAACATAATAATAAAGCAAAGACATAGGCCAAAAATAAGTAATTTGGCATTCACACACACATACATCTAAACAGATACAAGTAAATTTATAACTGTTTAGATGTATGTGTTTAAAGTTCAGTTTTCAATACTTACAGAAGTTATCTTCATTTAAGTTGTCTACGTAGGGATCATTGTGATATAGACCATCATGTAACAGACTATCATACTCTTCCTGGGAGTAAAAGGCCTGCTTTTGTGAGAAACTATACTGATTGCCAGATCTCTTTTCAGGATCCTTCAATGCTTCATAGGCTTCTGTTATTTTTACAAACATCTTGTGAGCTTCTTCAGTCTGGAATTGAAGTTTTTTTTCATTTTAACCATTGGTAATTAGAAATAATAGATGTGTGAAAGCTGGTGTTTGCTTTGGGTTTGATGAAATAAATGTCACATTTATCTTAGCATTGCCATTCTGAGTGTGTAAGGTGGTGTTATAATCATTAAAGGCTCACAACACCCTTTTTGTGGAAAACAGCATGGTATTTTTTTTTTATACAAACTTGCTATTACATGAATCTAAATAGGCTTCATATTATATACACATTTAAGTTAATAAATATATGTAATACTAAGAAAAAATATAACAGAAGAGATAACAATAAAAATGTCTAAGAAAATGCCCATGGTATTAATTTCATTGTGTATATGATTATTGTGTATTGAGCAATTAACATAAATTTGGTGGTTGGGAAATGAATTAGTTACATAACATGAATTAATGTTATCTTTGTAAAATTTTATGGAAAGGTCATCAAACTAACACTTTAACCTTTAATAATAAGTGTGTGGGTTTATAGTCAAGACTAACTAAACATTCAAAGTTTCCTCCTTCAAATATGTATGTACTTAGTTTTAAATAGCACACATTTCTTCAAATTAAAGTTAAATTAATTATTTAAATATATTTTAGTTAACTTTATAAGTAATAAAAAAGCATTTGAATAAATGATTTTATTTTTAGTTTACTATTTTTAAAATGAATAAGGATGTATCCTAGCTTTTAAAATAATAGCACCTATGTAAAGTCGACAATAATTAATTTACTTACAGGGTTTTTGTCCGGATGGTATTTTACCGCCAGCCTTTTGTAAGCTTTTTTTATCTCTCCTGTTGAAGCTTCTTTTGAAACTCCCAAAACATTGTAATATTCTTCGTAATGTATTGAATTAACCGCGCCGATTAGAAAACACGCGAGCAGTATGAGTTTAAACCTAAAACAAATTAAATATTAATTTTAATTACATAGAAGAAATGAAAAGCACAGCTTTCAAAAAAGTTTAAGTTACTTACATTTTCCAAACTTAAAGATCCACTGATGTTATGTGATACTCGTGGTTATATTTACTGATAATGTTCCGGTACTCTACTCATAAATGGTTAATTTAATAATTAGAGCAACGCCAGATAACACCGTTTACACGCGAAAAAAGATAAAATTGAAGTGTTTACTTTTCGTGTAGGTGTCGGCAAAGTAGGTATAAACGTTGACTGAAGTTTGATAGTTTGTAAACCTTCTGTCAACGTCAACGCAAGACAGTCAAGACATTTTTTTTGGAGTTTATGGCCTGGATACAAGTTCTTTAAGCCAAACAGTCAAGACAAGTTACAAGCCACAACATATTACTGTAAACTAGTCAGAGACAAGCGTCTGAGCTTGACGCGAGCACAGACAAATAATAATATACTTACAACAAGGATCACCTACAGGGGACTAAGAGATACCCGAACCCAAACCCATTATCCAAAATAACAAAATTACCAAAATAGGTCCTAAAGAAAGAGGCAAAAGGTAAGGCGCAGACATGGATTATGAAATGATATGATATGATTTACTCAGTTATGTTATAAGTCGTGTTGCGACAGAGTACCCTGGTTTAACCACACGCGACACGACACAACACGCCTAACAAGTGTGTCTCTAGTCTCAATACGACGAGTGTTCAAGAAAATGATGTAAAATAATCGGTCAATAGTTTTGATCAACAACTATATTACAAACAATAAAATGTTGTGTACTTTCGTTTGAGATTGGAATTGGAATAATATAAATATTTATATATAATATTTAAATATTTATATATTTATATATAAATATTTTAGTGAACATCGTTAAGTCCTTCATAAACTTCATACCACTACCACACCGGCAGGGTAGCGTTAGTTGTATCGTGTCCAATAAAGTCGGTGACTATTTATGTACCTATACATAATTATTTCCTTTTCCGGTTTGAAATTTGCCGGAATCCCGTAAAATAATGTAACTTTAGAGTACTAAAAGCAAAACTTTAAAAAAATCGAGAGTGGCGACCGTTCAATGTCATGACAATTTAAGTAATAAATGAATTTTTACAATGTAACGAATACATCAACTCAGTCTCCTATAAACTAAAAGCCCTCAGTCCTCAGTGTTTCCCCAGTGTCTGAATAAATTTTGACTTCATCCATTGCTTTACTATTCTATATATTGCTTTATCTTTCAAGTGAAGTATCTAATGTTTGTTAGTTAGGTAGGTAATATACCTTGTAACAGTTGAAGACGTCTTATTCTGTGATAGGCTTCTCGGAATTATTCAGTTGTCCACGTGTTAATTACTTACTTACCTATCTATGTCTTTACTATGCGATGCAGAAATTTGAAAAAGTGAATCCACAACTTTGTTTTTTTTTTACTTGCAATAAACTAGTGCTTTTCGCGATCCTACCTGATGGTAAGTAGTGATGCAATCGTTGATGGTAAGGCGCACTAGTTTATTAAGAGCCTATTCACTCTAGCCTTGAAGACACCTAAGTTGTATTCGGACGGAAAGACTGCAGCCGGCAAACTGTTCCAATCCCTCGACGTACGCGGTTTATATGACGAGGTAAAACGCTTAGTCCGGGCCGCAGGTGTCTTAACAACGTAAGGGTGGATATTCGCCGTACGCCGGGATGTCCGAAGGTGAAATTGGGATGGCGGAATCAAATCGGCGGAATCAAAGCGGCAAAATCACTCTCCAAAATGCATCCTGTAGAATACCGCAAGGCTGGCTACTCTGCGCCTGTGCTCGAGACTTTGAAGATTGGACCCAACCAAATCTGGATCACCAATCAGCCTCTTTGCACGCCTTTCCACTGAATCCAAAGCCGCTAGGTGGCATTTTGCAGCACCAGCCCATATGGCTACAGTACTCCACACACGATCTGGCCCGAGTTTTATACAACATTAGAAGCTGACTCGGTGGGAAGTACCGTCTGATTTTTGCAAGAACGCCGAGTTTTCTAGCAGCTACCTTGGCTCTTGACTCAATGAATCGCCCAAAGTTGAGGTCTGAAGCAATGTCCATTCCCAAGAGCTGAAGGCGGTCGGTGCACTCCAGGGATACATACCGACCGGCTCCTTTTGGCAGTGAATAGACATGCCTGTGTTTTGGTCGCGTTGAATGTTACCAGATTAGTTTTGCCTCACTTGCCCAGATTGTTTTATGTAATAGACTGGCAAACGAGCAGAGGAGTACAAGTGCGTTGCCGACCTTTTGGGGATTAGGGAATTTGGAGATTTGGGGATTGGAGGATGGCAATGACGATGTAACCACATGGCATGGGCAATGACGATATCCTCTTTGGGGGAGGGGAAGGATTGGGCTTCCGGTAACCACATGGCGAAATACAACGCTGTAGTTGTTTCACGCCGGTTTTCTGTGAGGCCGTGGTATCACTCCGGTCGAGCCGACCCATTCGTGCCGAAGCATGGCTCTCCCACAATTCCTGTCTTAATTAGGAAATCGAGAAAAGGGAATTTGAAATAAATAAATCGATTCAGTTATTTGACATTTTTTAATTTTGTCTTATTAAAAACCGCGTTTCCACATTGAAACCGATCTAATTATCTATTTACTAAAATAATTACAAATATATAATATTTTAACTACTTATTGTGACTTTAATACCCTAATTTAAATGAAGTGAATGTAAAAAAATATGGTTTTACAAGACATTATTTACAAGTAAATGTGAGTGCAAACAATAATTACATGATTGGTAACATTTAATAAGATTAAATTCTAAGTGCCTATATTTTTCTCTCGTTTAAATAGAGTACTTTATAAAAGTATATGTGATAGAATTTTAAATTTATCCGGTAGATATCGCTACCCAGACATAGTTTATCAGGCCTTTAATAAAATAAGGCACCTAAGGTACACAGAGAAACGTACCTACTGAATAAAAATATTATTATTGGATATATATATATTGCAAAATGTGCTAAAAGATTCTACAAAATTCACTTGGAGAGCCATGATTTAAGTACTATCACGTACTTATAATTATTCTAAATGAGAACTTATCACAGGAGTTACAACTTGCTCACATTGTTTATATGACAATATAGTGGTAACTAGTTTCTTATTATTAATACTTTGCTAATTAACACTAACCAGATCCATTTAATCACACCTTTGTTACCTAATAACTACAGATGAAAATTGAAAACAATTTTACCATACCATACCCATATACTGCTTTCTAGTAGCATTATTGATTTAGAAATGGAACTAACATATTATTCTCATATACATTTTTGAATAAACCTTTTAAGGTATAGATGCTGCTGTCCAAATATTTTCAAGTCTAATCCAACCAAATCTAGGACAATAAGTAATTAGTGTCAATAGTAAAAAACTGCAAAATCTATTCCAAAAATACCATAACTATACTTATTTACCGTGTAGATACATAAAGTAAACTACAAGAATAGAATATTTGTTAAGAAATATTATAAATAAGATTAATTATTATTTATATGATCCATTTTATATTACCTACGCAAAAGACCAAAACGCGGACCGAAGGCACTGCAGTTTTTAATAACATTATTTAATGAATTCTAAGAGTCAATAAATGCTTTTATAGAATAATTAGGTATTGATTTTTACAACTTAAATTACTTACCTATATTTATAATTTATTATTTTACTAAATAATAATCCTACTTCGCCATTAACCAAGTAGGTATGACTTAAGTGTACAATTATTTAAGGCAATTACAAATGTCTGCGCAGCTGTAAAACATATTTTTTAAATAAAGAGTTAAATAATAACAGTACCTTACATAATATTGGTAACTGCACGGTAACTATTTAAAAGCCTGTACCTACACCTATACATATCGAGCCATGTACCTAGACTAAGCAATAGCAATGGATCAATTAGCCATATAATGTTTAGTATTAACAATGTCTCAAATCCCTAAAACAATGCACCTAGGTATTTAAATATTTTAAATCAGTCATGCTACGTTCGTACATAGTCGTACAAGTGGATTAAAATAATTAATTACTAATTGGTCCTTTTATCTTTCTTGAAGCTCAAAGGACCAACTTCATATTGAAGTTGCTACATGTGTCACTCTTTCTCTTAGGTAAGAGAGTTGGTAATACCTAAGTAGTTCATAATTTATTGTATTGTAAGTTAGTCTGTTTACCAGTATATGATATCGTTATTCGATTAACTTAGGTAGACGCTTTGACGCTTCTCTTCAATGTGAAGTAAGCTAATATCCTGATGAAGACGAGTTCTCCAACTAGGATCCAAATGTCGGTCCAGTAGTTGTCCGGCTTAAGACTGAATTCACTGATGACTGTTTTGGGATGCCTGGAAATGAGAAAACATCGTGAGATAATGTTGATCAATAAATGAATTTAGAGTTATAATATGAATTTGAGATGCGAAGGGATGTATTAAATACATGTAGGTAGGTTTCGCAATAAAAGATCAGAGTTTCGTTTTTGTATTAAATAGATAATTATATGCTAATTTTGCTCAATAAGGCACTGCACTTTGATACAAGCTTCTCTCATGGGCTCATAAAAAAGAAAAACTATGTTGGCTACGTGACGCTCATCGCGCAGCCTCGTTTGTCACCCAATGTTGCTTATTATTATGATTCCCTAGCGTGACTTGAAACTAGTCGAGCTAGCACGTGATATCGAAAAGAAAGAATAGGTAGGTACTTGTTATAAAGTACTAACTTCAAATGACAGTAAGTAATATTCTCGGGACAGTTTAGTGGCTGCCTTCCATTGGAGTAGATGGCCAGAACTAGAGCTTCGAAGGCATATCGCAGGAACGACGCATGTGATACAGCTCGCATCACTGTGTTCATATGCGCTAGTAGGACGAGGTACCCAGCATACACGATCATAGCACACGTCCATATCGCCCCTAGGAAGGTTCCATTCTGTAACACATAGAAAAAATACATTATTATCATAAAAAGGAGAAATGTGTAGGTAAACGCAGTTGTCAAGAATAGCTTTTTTTGTTGAGTTTCCTACGGTTCTTATGAATAAAATAGGGAAGTAAGGTAAGATATGGTAGAGTAAGTACATTTTTATTTATTGTTTTTTAAATAATAAATTGATTTTAATTCGCATAAAAAAATTTAGTTAACTTTGTGATGGTTAGTGATTTTCTCCAGGTCCTAAAACCGGCTAGAAGTAGCATTCCTCCTGCATTTTTCTTCTCTTTTTGGTTATCATTTAGGTTGTAGATACGAAGATGAAAATATTATAAAAGGTAATCTAAATAAAGTACACTTTTCTTAATTATGCAATTCTCTTAGTTTTATATGCATTGGTACTTTTTTGAAGTCGGTTAAAAAGGTCAGGTGTGAACTAGAAGATATAAAGTTCTTCTTAATCATACAACATTTGCCACGTGCATCGACACATATAAAGACATTAAACAAAACTTATCGCTTGCCTATGATAACAACATGATCTAATGTGTCCACTGGACTTAACCTTTATTGCATAATTGCCACTATTTCATACTAATTAGGTTATTTGTAATACAAAATGTCTATTATGAGATAACTAGATGTTGTGTCCGCGGTTTCGCTCATGTAAAAATTGGGGTCAAATTTTGATCTGGTATAGAACACAAGAGACTCGGGACAATTTGGCCTCTACAGATGATATTAGGTTGGTCTTTCCATTTGGATACAAAAGGTAAAACGAAGCTGGTGGAAGATCTCCAAATAAATAAGGCATATAATACATTTTTAACTTAGAAAGATTCGGAAAAGGATTTTTTGTTATCTGCCGTGAAAACTGCGAAAGGATTTGGAGGTAGATAAATATAGATAGGATAGGGATAGATAGGATTTTTTCATACAAACTGCCATTTCAGGAAGTACCCCGTTCTTCCCGTAAAGAAAGAGATAAGCCAACCCTATGACACTCTCCATATTATTTGTCAAACTCAAGAATGTATGAACATACATTTTTGAGTTATAAATAGTCAAACTACTTAATACAGTTTTTCATATAAATACACAATTAATAATAACAAGTTCAAATATTAATAAATTATATGCAGCGAATGTCTTTCTGGAAAACCTATTTTTCGTTTTACACGTGGAAAAAACCATTTACTTTTTAAAGCCGAAACAAGTTACAAATAAAAGTGTATCGATTAGGTACCTTTTTTGAATAGCCTTTAAAGGTAGCGGTAAAATTAATTCAAATTATTTCTAAATTTAATGGCCAAGAGATCAAAATGCTAGCGGAAAATGTAAATTAAATCACTTCGAGATGTTAATATGCTTAATTAGACACCACACCTATTAATATGCTTAATTAATATATTGCTTTTTCGATGCTTTTTAAAAGGTGAAATTTGGATTTAAGGAAGGCCTATGACAATGATATTTTAATAAAATATTGTTTTGGAATGCGTATATTGTTACGATACGTATAAGTAGGACTGCCACAAGGTTGTATTCTAGAACCATCGCATATTTAATCAAATAGGCACGGTCGGCGTACCTAGTCGCTGCTGAGCAACGTGTCGCGGGTTCAATTCCCAACAAAACTTTGCGTGTTCCAAAAATTCTTGTTTTGAATCTGGGTGGTTTGTGTATGTCAATTTGTAAAAGCACCCACGACACACGAGAAAATTCTATTGTAGGCCAGCGTTATAACTTCAGAAACAAATAAATAATTTACTTACCACGGGGTTGAAGCATGTTCCAATGACATTGCCCATGGCTTCAGCGAGGAGTGCGACGTTGGCGAGTGTTATGACAAACATAACGAACCGGATCGGTTCAGCCGGTTGGCCGGATAGAAAGTACGACGGGACAGAATACACGAAGCTGTATATTATCTGTAGGATAGAGAAAATATGAAGGTGAATATTTTTTTATAGATGAAGTCTGAATCATTAAAATGAAGTAAAAATAAATGTAAGATAATCAATATTAGAAAGTAGTTGTCAGTGCTTGTTGCAGCATAAGCAGTCGGCGTAGACCTCATTAAACATTAAAATTTGTTGAAAATTTTACTCGAACGCATTACCTCGCCTTTTAGTCTTTATGCATATGCATGATTCAATCCTTAAAACTATTCAACAGATTTTGATGCGGTTATTTCTAATATATAGAGTGATTGAAGAGAAAAGTTTATATGTGTAATGACACTAAATAGTTGAGTAATTAAGTATCAGCAAGCCGGGGCGGTCACTAGTATTTAATGACTTTAGCAAACAAATTAAAATATGTAATATAAAAAAAAAAACGATTTGATTTAACAATGTATTTTTCGCTAAAAAACGTTAGATGTGTTTTTATAAAATAATTATGAAAATTGTCATAATCCGACAGTAACTTAATAACGTGGTCCACGATTAGACGATTAGGTGACCTTGGTGCTTTGTTTTCATCATTCTTCATAGGATCAGCAAGTGGATAATAATAATTGCCTACGGATTATTAAAAAGCTAGTAGGTAGGTATATGGTGTTTTTGAAATAAATACCTTGACTTTGACTTAATAGATTGACGTAAATGCTTATAACAAGCTATATTTTTTGCGGCATTAACGTGAGTTACCACTGACTCTGTATTGTAACCTTCATACGCATAGTCTTTGACAATTTCCATTAGCATGCACGTGTATTGATAATTTATGAGCTCGTTATCTCCACAATTATGGGCCACTATGATTTAATTACAGCACTTTACGTGAATAGGCTTGTGGACACCTATTAAAAGCGGTACCTACCTATGAAGATTCAATTATAGACCAAGGGTAATATGCAGCGATATGATGACACTGGACAATATGAAAAAAAGCTATTCACAATGTTATGGAACAACAAGGAAATGGTAAGATATATTTATAGATAATGATATAACTTATTTCTAACACATTGGAATGGGCCTCTGGTAGCTTCACTCGCATGGCGAAACACAACGCTATGGTGGTTTTACGCCAGTTTTCTGTAAAGACGTGGTAACACTGGAGCCGGCCCATAGCCATTGTCCTTACTGCTACTACTACTACTGGGTCAAATAAGATTGATCCTGGATTGCATGGTATTACCAATTACAATCAGGTAAACATCGTGAGGAAACCTGGACTTATAATTTCTAATTATAAGTTTGAAATCACCAACCCGCATTGAGCAAGCGTGGTGATTAATGCTCTAACCTTCTCCGTGTGAGAATAGGCCTTTGCTCAGCAGTGGGCACTTATAGGCTGATGATGATGATGACCATATCTATACTAATATTATAAAGCTGAAGAGTTTGTTTGTGTGTTTGAATTGAACGTGCAAATCTCAGGAACCACTGGTTTGAATTGAAAGTTATTTTTTTTGCTGAACAGATTATTTATCGCATAATGCTTTAGGCTATAAAAACATTTGATATGTAGGAGCCGAGCAACGCGTGAAATAGCGCGAGAATAGCTAGTATCCTATAATAAGTCGTGGGTTTATCTTACCTGTAGAGGCATGCCGGTGACAAGCAGCGCTGCATAGTACGTCTTCAGATTGTACCAGTTGTTGAAGTTTTCCTTCTTCAAAACTGACATCTCGGTTGGTACTAGAAAAAGAGAAACAGTAGGTATGTTAACTTCAGTATTCATAGTACCAGTACGCATCGAAGGTTTTTAAAAATACGGGTTTGTGTTTCTCTCTCTTTCTTCTTAATATTTTCCCAAATAAAATAGTTGACCTCGAAGTCTAGATTGAAAGATTACGATTCATTAAATCACATTTTGATTCGCGCCAAATTAGTATATTTTTTTATTTTTATTCATTTATTTTTTCCTCTTAGCTAAAGGTAGGTATCTAGATAGGTACTCGGACAATTAATAATAGCGAAAAAAATGTGCATATAAAAAAGGCAGATAAAATCCAAAATTTCCTGTTCAACAACTATGCTGCACCTTTTTAAAATAAAAAAGATTTTTTATTTTTATATAACTGGTTCTCAAGTGCACACACACTAAGATAAAAAAAATATTCGAGAACCTGATTTTTATTAACTAACCTTTTCAAAATAGCCATCACAAAGATTCAAAATAATTATGTGGTTGGTCTTAATATAACTTGTTTAAATTTTTATCGGATGTTTTTCGGGTTACTTATTGTCAATGATTAAAAAATTTTATGAATAATACAAGCCAGTTTCGTCATTTATTCCGAAAAACTATTTTTGCCAGTGGTTGGAACGTTTTGCAATGAATGGTATGTATGATGTCTAATATAATTGGTTAAACCTAGTCGGCCTTATTACAACTCAAGGTTTTACTTTAGTCTTGGTCTAAACCATAGAGCCAATTTTTGTATTTCGAATTGAAGGTAGATGACAATAAGATTCAAAATTAAAAACCCGACTCAATGGTTTAAACCTTGTTTTGTAATAAGGGCGGGTAAGTTTTAGTATTGGATGATCAAGCCGCCACATTAGAGACAAAGTGTGCTGTCGGTCTTTTGGGCTTGAGAGATTTGGAGATTAAGGAAAGGAGAAGGAAAGAACGGGAGTAGGATTGGACCTCTTGCCCTTCCATACTTAGGACAAGAGAAGATAATAGGGGGAGGCAGACAGTTTTTTTGGAGCAAAAACAGTGTAATATTTCTGATACAGTAGTGAAGTGACATCTGAAACTGAAGTGTAGAAAGTAGTCTCGTGAAAGATTTTCGTTTGAACATTTATTTATCACTGCAATTTTAAATTATGGTAATATTCTTTATACCTAGTGGGCACTTATAGGTTGATAATGTGATAGATATTCTCAAATACTACCCTAAAGAAGGAAATAGAACAACATGAATGTGTTTCAGGAGAAAAGGAGGAAGTAGGAGGAAATGGGGAAACATTTTGGAAGATCTTAGAACTAAGACTTTTGCAAAGGAGAAGGCAGGTAAAAAATATCAGAAAATGCCTCACATTCTTAATTCACGCCTCTAAGTTCGACAGGAAAATATTTAGGACTGATGTCTATACCGGTTTATTTAAGTACCTAGGTACAAGAATAAATTAATAAAACAAACAAGTTCATATATTCTTTTTTATCAATAATAAACAAGCCATGGCATAAATCCAAAACTCAAATCGCTGACGTTGGTCAGAAAGCCGCAGGCCTCAAGTGGAACTGGGCTGGACATGTTTGCCGCATGTCAGACGAGCGGCGAGCAAAATTTATTACCGAATGGAGCCCACGCAACGCTAACAGATACCGAGGCAGGTCCAGAAGAGATCGGCCGCAGAAAGCTTTGTGTAGAGAGGAGTGGAAGAAGGGTAGGGAGGCCTTTGTCCTGCAGTGGGACGATAATGGCTAATAAGAATAATAATAAATGGCATAAATTGTCTTTAGTTAAATAATTTCATAGTAAATTGCAACAAACTTAATTCTTTACGGGAAAGAGATGTATCTAACTAACGGATAAGTACAAAAACTAAAGTATGAAGGCAAAACCACAGCTGTAGAATTAATAACAAAAGAATTACCATCAACATTATCTAACAAAAAAATGTAGCTAAGGTTGCCTTGACGTTCAACAGTCTGTCTCTGAGTTGGAGAGACATTTGGCCCTGACCAATTGCAGGTCACCCTAGACCGGTTAGTAAGTTAAGGTCCAGATAACTTGCGTCTTAGAAATAAGAGTGCCTTGACCCCAAGAAGGTGGCAAACGATGAGCTTTGTAAAGACATGATTGATTTACGTTTTTTTTTCATATTATGTATTCAAGAAAGATTTTGTAAAGTCATGATAATTGTTAATGAATTAAATAGTGTATATGAAGAAAAGTGTTCGGTTTGGTAGGTATATAAGTAAGGTCTCAGCGGTACCTGTTATGTTTTTCTTCAAATTCGAAATCTATAAAGCGAATAGTAAGGTAAATAAAACATTGTAACAATTTTTCACGTTGACGTCAAAATAAACCCCATGGATAAAAAATCTATATCGATATCCTAGTGGCCGCAACCAAGAAGCGATTGAACCGTGGATTGACGTCTCTTTTTGACAAGGCGCATGTAGTTACTGGCCAAAACAGATACCATTCCAGAGATTTGTGATTAACATCAGAATTTAATAAAGGTAAAGTTCATATATTTTATAACGCCTTAAAACATCATCTAACCTAGACACAGATTTCTGTTAGAATGGAAATTAAAATAAGTAGAAAGGAGGTCAGAGCTTCATAAAGAGTTAAATTGTTAGTTGAACAATATTTTTCTAATTAACGTCTAAAATTATTGCGCTGTTGGCGTTTAACGTAATAAAAGGTAGCTATTTAATAGGGGTAATTAAGTTGATTCTACGTATCTACGAGTAATCTATTTCTTTGTGATTATTATGAAGTGTCATGAACGAGCTTTTATGCGCTTCATTTGTTACATAAACTAGAATTGTTACAAATACAAAGGTATAGGCAATTAGTTAGGCATTTCATTAAAACTACATTGTATTTTATACAGCACTAGCTTTCGTCCGCGTGGGATAGTTACTTCCTGCAGATTTTTTGGTATAAAAACTATCCTATGTCCTTTCTCGAGTTTCAAACTATGTCTGTACCAAATTTTACAGAAATCGGTTCAGTAGTTTAGGCGTGAAGAAAAGATAGACAGAGCTAATTTCGAATTTATAATATTAGTTTGGATACTATTATACTAATGTGTTAAACATATGCGATAATACAACTGAACTTACTAACACTTTTAAGATTCATTAAAGTTTTGATCACGGTGATTAAAAGAAAGTTTGCATATATTACCTAAATATAAAAAGGGATTTTGTATTCAAAAAAAATTTAAGTTAACATGAGAGACAAATAAAAGCCGGACCGACGCATATAAAAGTTTTCGCGTTCCAAACTTGAAAAGACACGTGAGTAAATTTTGAAAATTTTATTATTACCCGTTTTTGTCTTATGCGGTTATTGAACTCGAAGCATATCATCAGCCTTCTCTTTGGGGTTCACCACATTCATTTACAGTTCGTTCAACTAATTTTAACTCTTTGATTTGACATACAATTAAACCTGTTTGTTGCCGTAATATTTTATAAGCATTTAGATGTGCAATATGCATCGGATCTTTTTTATTATACTTTAGTAACTTATATCATGTTTTAAATTTATTATATCTATCAATAATATCTTGTTATTGACACAATACAGTTCCGTATTATTAATTCAAATTTCTTTTATTTTTCGTATTTTGTCCAGTTAACTTCTATTTTTGTTATTATTTAACTATACCAAAGTTTTTTCGTTCTTGGTACAACAAAAATTCTAAGTAGCTACCAATATAGAGGCAAAAAATTTAGATCTCTTATTTTAGATAGCAGCCACCTATTTTTTTTTACTAATTTCAAGTAGGTAAGCTTTTTATGTCCTAGTTGCGTGTAGTTTTATTAGACTTTAGACTTGTGAAGTATCCATTAAGTTATCGTAACGGCAAAATACCCGTGCTAATTATTAATATGTTTTTTAAAAACCAACGTATATTTAGAAAATCAATGCTTAAATATTAGTGCGTCTAGTCAAATATATCTGTTAATTACCGTCAACCACAAAATAAGGTAAACAAACTGCAGATTTTGCGGAATATAACATTAAATTTCTTGGTATGAGGTAAAAATCAATCTAAAATAAGTTATCACTTACAAATTATTAGTTTTGTTAATTTTTTTTTGGAAAATTATAATGATCCTTTGACAAAATTTGACCTTCTTATTGGTGATAAATACGTTATGATACTTGTTTTGTGAAGAATACTGTTTTTTTACGTAAAATTTATTTTACAATTATGTTCGTCATGAGATAGTTATTCCTTGGTTTTAAGTTAGTAAGCAAAAGGAGAGAAAATATGATTATAAGTAGATAGCTAGCTCTTGTATCAATATTTCCTTCTTTTGGGATAACAAACTGCTTAACATAGTAAAAGTCTTGCGTGCTAATTGATGACACTTTATTGACAAAATGTGTTAGCACGCAAAAATCAGCTTTGAGTGTTCCTGCGCTTAACATAGAGCTGAGGTAAAGGCCTCAAGGCATGCTTGGATACCATCTTTTTAATTTGTTTGCGTTGTTTGTTTTGGTATGTCCTTTTTGTTATTCATGTTTTTTTAGTCTGTTTGCGTCTTGAGTATGTGATGTGCCGAATAAGTATTATGTATGTTTATTATTTATTTAAAAAATGGATGTTACATTAAGTAGGTCCATCTAGATGTAATAACACCTTACAGTAACGTCGACGTTTATGCTATACTAATCGCTGCCTCCCATTAGTTGTAGAGTGATGTATTGTATATTTATAATCTACAGCCTTCCATTATCGACCTAAAACTAGTAGACCTTTTGACCTTTATAATATTAATAATTATAAGTAAGTTCTTATATATTTTTTAACATTTATAGATTTTAAGTAACATTCTTAATAAAAACATTACATAATGTCGCTTATTTGAATATAACTGGCTTAAATAATTAAGATTAGTTTCGAAAACGTTTGGTACAGACTAAAAATCTATAAACAAGTCCCATCCAACGAAATCATTTCTTAAATATGTGATTGGAATAATTACTAGCTGAGTATTAAATTTTTGATGAAATAATAAAATATTCTACTTACTTTTCAGTACAGCAGGCATAAGCGATGTGTAGCAAAGATAAACAGTGCTGACTAATAGGAAACTGAGATTGCTGACAGTCTTGGATCCATCGTTACCAGCCTTCTCATAGAGCAACCCAAGTAGCACGCCGATCACCATATGCATAAACAGCTTGAGGTGAGAGACAGTCTGGTGGAGAAAAATAAATTCTATATTCACTATTTTAAAGATTAATTTTCAACATTCAAATATTTTTTTATGATTCTCATATTGTATTTTCAAATTCAATGTTGAAATCAAATAAAAATGCTTTAAGGTCATCATTTTCGATTATAATATTGTTATTTAAGATTGAATTCTTGATGTAGTAATAAATCTAAGCCGTCTTTATCAATCTACCGACTACATACTATCCACATATTTGGGAAAATATATGAGTTATATGAAATATCTTGCTTGTTGATGGTGATTATCTTTGAACCATAAAGGTATAAACGATTTGTAATTTTATTTTATGCGATTAACTATATATAGCTTGCGCGGCTTCGCCCGCGTGTTATGTTGATAAAAACTAGGCTATTTCATCTAGATCCGTCCAGCCGTTTTAGCGTGATTGAGTAACAAACATCCAAACATCGCTTTCGCATTTCAATATTAGCAAGAATTTTTCTAAATTATAAAAAATATATTTTAATTTTGCCATCTAATTTATAAGCCTTTTTATTGTTTTTAGATTTCAAATAATCTTTAAAAAGACCCAAGAGTATACGATCTCAATAACATATTTTTATAATATTTTAACAAGCTGAGTTTCTTAAAATTGCCTAATTTACATTGCCATTAATTGTTATCTGTTCATTTATCAGGTTACCTTGTAAAGGACTAGACTTTTTATATAAATATTGCTAGAATGCTAATGTAATGTCCGTTCGAAGGTCCAAGAGTGGACAAGTAATTACGATTAATGTATAAATGAATATTCAATATTTATAGTTCCAGAAAATTAACTAATAATTTTATTCTCGCTGTTTAACTATTCAATATTGATATAAAACTGTATGTTATTCCTACTTACAGGCTTAAGCGTGGGAGTATCTACCATACTTCGGCACGAATGGGTCGGCTCGACCGGAGTGAAAGAACTACAGCGTTGTGAGTGATTGAAACTAATAATACAACAACAACTTTTTTTATTTGCATTGAAAAGTTTTGTTGGCCTTTGAAAATCTACATTACATGTGTGTCCACATATTCGTACAAGAATCGGGACTTAATTATAGGCAATCTTCGAAATTCCACACACTCAAAAGCTCTGAAAGAATAAATTTAGCAAAAAGGCGTGACATTGACTTATTGAAAAAAAAAAACATTATATTCATTAATATTAATTTTTTTTAAATAAATCAACTTACTAAAAATAGAATGTCTAATGTTTGATCTGATGTGTCTAGAATCAAGAGTAATCATTAACAAACAAGTTTTTATTAGCATAGTTAATTTTTTTTTATTTATCTTGTATTATTTTATTGTCGATTAGTTTCATTTGTTTATAAGTTATTTTGGTGTTGACGAAAAGGATAATATAGAAATGGTTGAACGGTAGTCTTGTAATAAACATTGCCAGTTCATCAGTACAGTTGCTCGACAAGGCATCCATCGTGTTAATCCCTTCAAACATGTGGACACAATCATAGCCCAATACGTTCTCAATTAACAAAGCATGCGGAGGTGTATATTTATAATTTTTATTTTGAAAATCTTGTATGTTGCAGACACGGAAGGCATTCACTCAATTTTTCAAAAAGTCAGACCTTTTACAAGTTTACTGAGATCAGGTGCTGCAGTAAAAAATAATCAATAAAGTTATAAAATTGTTACTTTGATTAATCTTAAAGAAAATAAATGGACTTGCTTTGTGCCTACTTATATAAATAAATAAAAAAAGTGGTTCTTAAGTATATAATAAGCTTACCAGCTCAATAACAGGAATGAAAGAGGAAGTATAAAGCAATAATTTTATGCTTGACGTGTCATGCTCTCAACTACATTCTTGACTGGATCGGATACAATGACGTTATGATACAAAAATATTCGGTTCAATGAAGTTTTTATAATAGTTTAATAAAAAAATGTATTACCTAAAATTAAAAATAATGTAATTGTTCAATATTACTTTTCTAGTATTAAAACACTTAGTTTTAATTGGCATTGTTGAATTGTTGACATATGAAACAGCCATAGCTATGTATTTATTTGCACTGTCGTGTGTGCGGCATATGCACGTGAGTACATAAGCTATAAACGCAAGGTAAATATTGTGTAGATAAGTTAACACAGCAATGTGATTCATTTGTGACATTAGCTAACAGGAAAAGGGTCCATAGGTTGAACAGACAATAGAATAAATAGAACATCATTTAGGGACACACATCTGTGTTAGGGCCGAAAGGACCACGGTATTTGGTCCTTCGGTTCTAGAGCGCCAAAATCAAATAGATAAACTTGAATGTATACGATAAATGTTTTGTTGTTGTTTTAAAAGTTTGATAAGAGTTATTTTTGTTACTTAGAAATAAAAACTTCGACATCATAATTAAAAGAACTTACCCAATCTCTGTATTGTTGCAAGATGCACCGCTTAAAAAGTTTCCCAAATTTGTACAGCTCGTGCGGTGGATTGATGATGACCGATGTCTTTCCTAATGATATCACTTCGCTTATTCTGTCTGGTACTGGCAGAATTGCTGGTTTCTCCGCCCACACATGGTTTAGACATTTCTCTGCTAAGAATTCATTGAATTTTCCGTATTCTCCGGTTGCTATTTCTAGAACTGAAAAGGAAATAACCACTATTTATAAAGTTTTAACGTGCCAACACAATTTATGTGTAAGTTTTAATTTTATTAGATTCTTCTTTTTGCATTAGATTAATATTCTGAATGTACATTTTTATTTTTATTTTCAAACACATAGCACTCCACTCTTTGTTCTTATCAAATATGTTCCTAATTCAGTCTGAGGATTTTTGCAAGAATTATATTAATTGTTTGCAGGTAATGCAATAAAACCATAGTTAATATGTTCACAAACTAATTATTTTTGAACAGGCAAGTACTAACTACTAACTCTTCTAATAGCTACCTACATAACATAAATGTGCAAAAGGTTTATGTGAACAGAGGATAAGTACTTAAAGCAATAAATTATAGGTGTTTTATATATGTGGCAAACTATAATTGGCTTCATCGTGCTAAGTTTTTTGTTACACCTGTTTGTGTATTAGCTGAAGGTTCTTTTAAAATGTCTTAGGCATTAAGTCCGCCTATGTACCCAATGTGCATGAAGTTTAAATAAAAAATAAAAATAAAATTAATAAAAAATATATTGTACCATTATTAAAACAATTGTTTAGTTATTAAAATAGCTTAATATAGTGAAGTGTCTGTTTTAATTTAACAGTTGTACATCGTAATAGTTACTGGATTTGCCCATAAAATAACAATAAATAAGCGAATCATTTAAATAACAATTTACAAGTAAATAATGAAAATGATTGATGATCGAGTACCTACATTTATAATGTGATGTTTAAGATGTGAATCGAGGTCCGTTTGTGTTATATAATAATACATACTTGTATACTGATGGTAAAAGTTTAAGAAAACACAATTAAAACTTAATAGTACACGTATTCTGGGGACAGTTGTGCATGACTGTGTATTGAAGCATCCAAAATATTTAACGCCGGTAATTAACTTATTACTAATCTGGTGTTGCGGTTGTTTTTGGCGGCACTGATTGTTTTAACCATCACACTGATGGTTTTTCGTAAGCTCGTTTGCCAATGCTATAAAAAGTTACCAAAAACATTATCGTGACTTGGAGAGAGGATAAGAATAGACCTTGACTTAATCTGTATTTAACTCGTTATGTGTATACTAAAAAATAAAATAAAAAAATAATCGAAATACCATTTTTTTGGGTAAGTATTCATTACAATTGACAGGGACATACAAAATCAAGGTCATATTTTTGTAAATTTACAACTTTCAAATTTTTATGGTCAACCTTATTACGAGTGAATTAAAATACTATTTGGATGAAAAGATCGCAGCAGGACTAAAAGGCAACTACTCAAAATCTGATTATACAATAATTGAATGATTGTGATAGAAAATTGTTTTATATCCAATTCAATCGTTTAGTTATAACAGTTAATAATATGTATAATATATATAATACATACCTAGGTGCCTTATGAATTTCGAGGAGGATTAGTATAGTCTGTTTTAACACTCTACATGATGTAATTGGCAATGTAACCTTTTAATGCTTTTGCACATATGGGGGTAAAGTTTTCTCGTATTAAATATAGGTATTACTTACTGTAATCCGCAGGATTGTGGTACCTCGGGCACTGGAGCCCTACTGATGCAAGGTAAGGGACTGTGTTTTCACTGGCCCCGTGGTATATGCACATGCCTTCTGCAAGCATGTATACCTGTTTTGGAAATTATAATTATATTAGATAAAGCATAACAAGAATTTTGTGACTCGTACTAGGAATCGAATACGTTGATACACATTTTGGTCAATTTACTAGCGCGATGAGAGTTGTCTGCAAAAATTTATTGAAAATATATCATAAATTCTGCTATACTTTTAGGTTCTGTGGCAGAATGCGACGCACTGATTATGATTACAACCTCTTTCAATATTTGTTCAAAAGATATTGTTGTTATGTTATTATTACTTAGTTCCTCAGAGTTTTGTCTTTGGTCTTGAGTTTGGTCTTTACCTATGAAATTGCCGTTTTGCATGAAAAAATTTAAACGAATTTTTGGATTTGAAATGCGATGAAAATGTAACACTAATAAATAAACAAATGACTAGTTTTGGAAAAAGAATCCCATGTTTTTAAAACAAAATTAATTAGCCTTAGCCTAACAAAAACTATTTTGATTTGAAATGGCCAGTACTTCAGAACGGCAATTTCATAGGTAAAGACCTATTATAAATGATGTTTTAAAATCATTGGAATCTCATTTTGGTCTTTGTGAAATAGGAAACATAAAAATCATGTTACAGTAACTTATTAAAATTATGATTGTTCTAAAGCTCTTTTGTTGACATGATGATATGGATAGCAAACAAAAAGGTTCAATTACTATACTTGCTAACTCTATGATACTTTTTATTCTAATATTTAATATTCTATATCGATAGTAACCTTAGCATTTTGTTTATCGATTTGGTCATAGCATTATAATTGACAGCCTTTTAAGTAAACTATAACCTATTGACAGGTATAGCAAAAAATCTCTATTGTGCTGTACGGTGGTTGACAAGATAGGAAATCTTAGACGTGGTGTCAGAGGTGTGTCCTCGTGTTTGATTCCTGGGTCAACCTAGAAACGGGGTTCAAATACATTTGAAAACAACGACTTGCTCACGTGGCGACTGGGTGTAGCTGAGTCAGGTGCGCAACGTCACATTGACGCGCACTCTGCTCATAACCAAATTGCCGCTGCGACTTGAAAGTAGGTAGTAAAGCTTTTCTCAGTTTATTCGCGTGGCTAAGTCGTTATTTTCAATAAATTTACATCTCATGATACAATCTACTTGAATCCCTTTTGGGACAGTAACTGTCCCAAGATTTCAGATTCAAGTAGATTTTTTTTGCTCAGCGGTGTGGAAACGGGCTTTGGAGATTTAGTAGAGTAACTCTGATTTAGAACACTGCCCGGATCTCTAAGTAAAAAGCTCTTGTTTGTACAATGATGTCATATCATGTCGAGTAGAATACTTAAATTTAGGTAATTTTATTTGCCTTTTACCCGTTGTAATTTCCAACTAGTCAAATTCAATACTTTTATCCAAATGTCAAAAACGATACTTTTATATGAAAGTTTTATGAAAAATTGAGGTATGACGTCATAGTATTTTTGCGTCAAATCGCTTACTTATTTCTTAATAATTAGCTATAAAATATCTAAAACTTAGTGAATCGATCGATTGATAAATAAAAGTATAGTTATTTTTCAATATTTTATTGCATTGAAACGTCGAATAAATTTAGTTTTGACCTAGGAAACTACCCAATTGTTTAACATTTAATATAGTTTGGCATATTATTTCCCTCTTTTATTGAATGAGTGTTGTGTTATTTTCAATTGCAATGAGTGATATGCCTTCTAAGGTGTCTTTGAGAAATAACAGTTGACAATATAAAGATAATTTAATACATGACAAATACTCAGCAAAACTAGTAATAAGCAAGGTCTATTGATATTGAGTAAATTGTGTAACTCTTTCTTGAAATATAGTCGTTACTGTGTGCAATGCATCCTCGTGTTCTTGACCAATTTTTTTGTAACGTTTAACTAAATATTTAACGTAAGTGTTAGAGCATAGTAAACCAATCTCTTGAGTGATTTGCCATAATTGGTATTCTGTATGCTTTTACAATCGACATGTGTTTTGAACACGTGCTTTGATAATGCGTAACTTCTCGATGTCTAAATTAAAATATGACATTATGTATATTTTCATATTTGCGTAGGTAAGTAGATTGTATACATAAATTAAACATGGTGCATTGTATTTCCAATTACACAAGGTATGAGATTTTTTAATCGAAGTAGAAATGTATAATTTTCATATACAAAAAGGTTCATACCAAACATTTCTCACATAAAAGGACCAAAACGGGTTACCGATGCGTTGTTGCTACCTAAAGTATGGCTAGTAACCCTATGTAAAATTGTTTATATATATTTTCTTCTTACTTGATCAAACAGCGAGTACACGGATGCAGGCGGTTGGTGAATAGTGCAGACTATCGTGCGACCATTGCTTGCTAAGTTCTTTAGCAATTGCATACACTGAGCTGATGTGCTGCTGTCTAGACCTCTGTAACAAAGTAATAACATTAGTATTACATTAAAGTAACAAATCGCATATCGTGTACGTGTTTATTGGAAATTTATGATAGAAAGTGAAATTTATAATAGAAATAGGTCGTTTAGCATTTAAAGCTTTATTTATTATTATACCTTCTTGTCACATTGGTTAAATATTGTATTAAGTTGTTAACATTTAATGTGACAACTTAAGTCCTTAGACTTTCAAATAACTAATAAATAATATATCTTATTTAAATAATTATCTAATTGTACGCGTACTTATGATGTTGACAAAAATCTTCTAACATTTTGAGTACATGAAGAACTACAGGCATTAAGAACACATTTGGAATAATTTATTATACGTTATGTAATTGAAGAGATGTAGCCATCAACGTCGAGCCACTTGTGGAAAATATTATGTATTAATAACAAACTTGATTTGTGAATCTCGGTACATTTTATATAAAAATATAACATTTTATTAAAGTGTTTGTCGTCTAGACTTAATTAAAAACCTGTTTTAGTTGCGTAGATTTATACTACATACGTAATAGGTATATTTTATTTATCTAAGCCTTGTAGAAGTTGTTACTGTAAAAAATATATATATTTTAGTTGGCCTTTATAATTTGATTTTGCATTATTACGTCATTTTATATTTTACGGTATTTTTTTTCCGATTCGCCTTTAACAATCGATAGCACCCTTAAGGAATTCAATTAAACAAAATTAAAGAAATTTAAAAGTACACATTTAAACAAGTACCTATTTATGACCATGTAAATCACTATGCATATTTTCGTCTTTTATTTTAACATCGCGAAATATCTATATTTATATGTATAATATAATAATGGATATAAAAATAGAGTAACTAAGAGAACACAGAAAAAATAAATAATAACTGTGTAACTATGTCAGTAGACAAAGTCACTTAAATTCTCACGGTTTCCGACAGTTAGCTACCTAAATAATAAATTAAGTTTATTTTAAACTTCTTGCTAACAAGACTAAAAAAAATGGTTATGTAAATTGGATAAACAGAAGTGGTAATTAAGAAAGTTTTTGTTTAGGGTTTCCGGTAAAAACCTGAGTCATTTTCTACTTAGACAGGTCTACATTGCCTACCTAGACAGCCGCTTTTTAAGCGTATTTTGTTGTCTTTATTTCGGAAAAGCTTTGTTTGTTTAAAGAAAATTTTCAGAAAATATTAAGCAATACTTTCCGCTTTAAACTTTGCTGTCTATAACATGGTGAATAGTGTCTGTGTAAATAAAATCTAGTTACCTATTCTGAAAAAGCGTAGAAAAGTCATTACGGCTTACAGTTATTGGTGTGCCTATAAGACTGATGAAGAAAGTTCTAGATTAAATGAAACCAGTCTGGTGGGATCAACGACCGACTCCAGATCATTCGGTATATTTAAGACAATAATGAGCAACTGTAACAGCTGTTAGATATGATATAATAATGTAAATTTTTAATGGCATTTTTTTCGTAATCATGTATAATTAATATGCGATTTCTTGTCAGATGGTTCTTTTATAAATTCTCACAAAAATATTTTTATTTTATCACTTCACACTATTGTTACAATTTTACTATTGGATACTGAAGAAGACATCAAAGAAAGTTTACCCATGGTCAACTTGTTTTTTTCCGTTTTATATACCTACGACAGGCTCGTATAAAGAGAAAAACGATACTTACGTAGTAGGTTCATCTAGAAAAAGCACAGGAGGGTTGTCGATTAGTTCCACTGCTATCGATAATCGTTTCTTCTGTCCACCAGAGAGACACGCACACCTCGTGTTTTCTGACCCTGATAACCCTAGTGTATTGATTATTTCATTAATCTGTAACAAGAGAAAAGTACTGTAAAATTGGAATATTATATATTACCTTTTTGGAATAAATATTTTATTGTGTGTTGTCGATTTGGTCATTGATTGATTGATTATTGCACTTTTAGAATGAATGAGCCCATGTTTTGGTCCTCTGATACGCCAAATGAAAACTTGGATGTTTTGATACCAACATTTTTCTATAATGTGATTTTCTGGATTGTAATTTTTGAAATTAATTGCAGTAAAGAGTAATGTTAGAACATCAGTAACTTTAGATGATTTTATAATATTTTATGTTAGATATACTATAATAAAATTAATAGGTAGTTATTTGTTTTTACTGAAAGTACGTAGTTACAATAAAAAAGTGACAGCTTTAAAATTTGAATGTAACTGTCAGTCTTCCGTCATTAGGTGTCGTCGACCTTTGTCACTGTCAGTTGAAGATTCAAATTAAATAATCGCGGAAATATTGACGTAGATCGTGTTTAAAATTAGATTCACTTAAATGTGGATTTCGCATATTCACCTATATTTTTTGGTTGTGTGCACAGTCTTATATTATTATATTAAATTAGTTTTAAGTTTAGATTTATTTTTTGCGCTTGCTGTACTTATTATTTCAAAACTTTAAACAATACCAGTTGCTGCCGTGACTCTAAAAACATCAACAAGAAATAATAAAAAGTTTCCAAGGCTTTAAATAAACATGACCCACGCATTTTTTTTTGTGTAAGTATATAAATGAACGCACCTATGTTTTTTAGTATAGGTTCTTTGGAGTTCACTTAAAGCATAGAAATCTTAAAGTGAAACGATATGATATTCTAGTTTTATGAATAGGTATAAGTACTTTGATTTATTTCGGCACATTGTGCCTAAAAGTCTAAAGTGGTCGACAACTCGACAAATATCATTGGCGATGTTAAACAATAGAATGCATTTTGGGTATTTCCACTAGGTAATGTCATGAAGACATTGTTGACCTTTTTGATTTATTATTAATAGATATTTACTTTGCAGTTAAAGTTTAAATAATTAAAGCCAACTGAATACCTACACTGATAGAGGATACTTAACTCGATTTTGATCATTACAAAATTATGCAATTACTTATCTTAATAAATACAGGTAGGTACGATCGGTTCGAGTCGCCAATTTTATTGTTAATGACGTCAATTACATGCTGTGTCGTTCTTTTAAAACTTATCTATTATTTATCTAGACTAGGTACTTAACGGAACGCTTTGTTTATGTTTTAACAAGCTTAATGTCAAATTAATATATGAAAACATTATCCTCGATTATTGAGAATAGTAAATTTGTATAATATTGGCGGAATATGAAGATAATTGATTATAGTTAATCTGTAAGAAAAAGTGTTTTGTTATAATTATTCGTAGCACTTACCACGCTCAGTTTCAATTTATCTGTCAAAGTATCACCCAATTTCATATCAGCTGCGAATTTCATTAGCTCGGCCACAGTGAACAATGGGTTCAGTCTGTCATCCTGGAGTATATAGCAAGATTTCTTCCTGTACGCTTTGAGAGAATTTAGTGAGCCTTTAGGCTTTAATTCACAAACACTGTCTCCTGCACGTATGCTTCCTGTAACGCCTTTAGTTCTGCAACAAACGAAGACTTGGAATACCAAGAATTTTTGCGAAATATTAATGGATAACCTCATCACAATACGAATTTGAAAACGGAGGTCTTAAGAATGTAGGAAAATGTTCAGTTAACTTAGTATAGGAAAATAGGATGGAACGAGTTACATACCTATAGACGTTTCCTTATACTTTGTAAGTAGGTATTTTTATATATATTTGTTCTACTTAAACGCCCTCCATCAATAGATAATACGTAAACATCAAAAACTTTTGTTGTAATATTTGAACACGAATGCACGTTTCTAACATTTCTTTCAATAGTGTGAGTGAATCGGTTGGATTTTCTTCAAAATAATGTTGTCATAATATTTTATACTTACGAAAAACCAGTGAGTGCGTTCATGAGGGAAGATTTTCCGGCGCCCGAAGGACCCATTATAGCTGTCAGTTGACCAGACTTGAATAACCCAGAAACACCTTTTAAAATCGTCTTTTTTTCTGAAACAATAGAATAAAGAAGTATTAATAATAAGTATACATTAATTTACTACACACAATATACACTAATTGTATGCCAAGTGTTTAAATATAGCAATTTATTATTAGTTTAAAATGGTATGCGTTTTCTTGCAGATTTTTTTGCTTGATCAGAGGTTATCCCATTTTATTTTTATTTAAATAGCTGTAACTTATATCTGCGATACGATTTTGATTCTTTTACGTTTAATTTGTCTTTTATTTCCTTAAAAACTCGGTTTTACTTATATAGGCACTTACCTCTTTCTTAGTAAAACTGAGTTTGAGATAGGTCTCATAATATCCACATTGTCAACAACTACGTTATGTAGTTATTGTTTAATTAGTTGTGGAAGAAAACATAACTTGTTGTAAATTGTTTTATAAATGGTTGGTTAACATTCCATTCATGATGCCATAAACGACTGTAGATAAAATCAGATGTGTTTAACTTTGTATTATTATGTATTTGCAACTACTCATCTACCAGAAAGATTACGAGTTTTTGGTCTTCCATAAGCAAGAAGTTTGAGTTTAAGCCCCGGGACAAAAAATACCAAAGTTCTTTATGATAATATGAATTAACATCTGACAGTAATTTTTTTGCGTATTTATACTTAGATATGTAGGTACTTAAGTAAGAATATGATAGAAAATAGAAGTGAAAAACGATAGATCAGAAGTCAGGATATACTTCACTACATTGCATAGTACAAAACAAAGTCGCTTTCTCCCTCCCTATACTACTTACCTACTTATATATGCTTTTGCCTAATGTTTAAAACTACGAAACGAACTTTGTTGGGTTTTTTAAATAGATATCTTTAAAACTACGAAATTTGGCTGGGATGATTTAACAAGGTTTATAAGAATAGGTATTTTTTTTCATTAATTAATTAGTGGAGAAATTTAGTAGGTATCAGCATTAGCTCCCGTACGAAGCCGTTGGGTTGCTAGTGTTAATAAAAATTACAAGAGACAAAAACATTCAATTATATTTTAATTTTAAATCAGGCATAGCTATGTTGGTCTAACTAATAAACAAGGTCGATGCTCGTTAATTTTTTTTTCTATTTTGAGCAGCCCACACCTACCTATATCTTTTGCTTTTGAAAAACTAAAAACATAGCAATAAAAGAGGCAAAAATTTTATATCTCAAAAACCAGTTTACTATTTTTGATCATACCTACTTTGAAAAATATTATTAACTTGTGATGGAATATTACTGAAACAGAAAAGATTTTATTTAAAACAAATAATTATATATTGTAAGTAGGTTTTCCATCATACACTTTTATTCAGCTTTTGCTTGCAGTTTCGTAACGAAAAATACACATATTATCCCTGCTTAGTATAAGCTTAGCAGTTTATCTCACAGGAAAAGAAATCGAAATAAATAGAAATTATAGACTGTGATATGTTCTTACTTACATAATAAGTTAATTGAAATCATCAGTTAACGATATATAAACGCATTTAAATCACCATGCGCAATATATTCTACGGGCAATGAAATAAAGTTTAAATTAATTTTATTACTAACTACATACACACATAAGAAATTAGATGGATAATTCCATAAGATTAGCGCGTGTTTCCTGGCACATTATATCATACATTTAAATATAGAATGTAATAAAAGAAACTACGTGTCATAAGTTTACAGGGAACTTATACTTAAGAAGGTGGTGAAACAGGCATTTAATAAGTTAAGCAATCATTTGTTTATCAATAAATTAATCCAGTCAATCGGTTTTATATAAGACCACAACACACAGATGATTTTTACAATGATACTCATTATTTAGTATCAATTTATTTTGGTGTTCACCTCTTCTCTCCAAATTATTATTTTGCAGCCTCAAATCAATGCCGCTCTCGCAGCCATATTGGAAAATTGGCGCCAAAAGTTTTAATATATATATTGTATATTGTATATTGACATAAAATTTATTAATGATCAAATTAAATCCTTTATTATAATCGGCTTGTTTTCTTCGGATTGATAACAATTAAATGACTCAGCTTTAGAAAAACCTAGTTGTTTTCATCTAGAATTGCAAAACGCCATGATAGGTATTTTGAAATAATTGATCTCATTATGACCATCATAATTTATCATTGGAGAATAATACAAGCGTGAGTTTCCTGCAATTAGATAAACTGCGGAAACTCGGCGTAGATTTTTTTTGTTTCATGGTATACACAGGTACTTAAGAGACCATTGTCATGTAGTCTTTGTGAGTACCACCTACTGCAATTATGACGACAGCATTTGTTTTCAGTTTAATAGGTACTTATGTTTATTATCCAAAATGGCGTATCTGTCGATATATAATATATTAAGTATTAATAATTGTATTCGTTGTAAATTAATTTATTTCTAAAGTACCTACTGCATTATATAATACTTAGATAAACATTACATTATAAACATTACACAAATAATTACAATACGTCAAGCATTCTACATAAATTCGGGAATTTAAAACATCATTGAAAAAAACGTAAAATATAAATAATAAAAAATTAACATAATAAAAACCGCTAATCCACATATGAATGTTCTACTGTCTTGTGTGCGTTTACAAAGATACAATTTCAAATAAACGATACACCTATCCCGGAACAATTGTGGATCACTCAAAGCGTTCTTCCATGCGAGAATCAAACCATTGCACATTGCACGGTAGCTGGTTGCCCAGCTACTGTGTCAAATGCAGTTTATGCATTATTTCAAGCGCATTGTCATTATTTAATATATAGTAAGTATTTGTATATACGTATCATGGATCACTGTTATTACGTAGATATTACAATCGCTAGCATTACGAACTTGATAATGGCTTACTGACAGTGACCAACTTACGGAGTTCAAGAGAGCGGCGACTGCGTGCGTCGTTCGGAAATTATTGGATATTAGGGACGGCTTCGTGGCCATTATGTATCAGTTACATTTGAATATAGAATGTATTTTTATGAACTTTGCGCAACGTATGTTCATTGGTAGGGTATTTAAATATTAAAGGTTATGTTAAAAGCGCATAATATACCTTGTATACCGTACTTTGGTGTTTATATTTAAGACTAGAAGGCTCAATTTAGGCGGAAAGACTCACAAAGAAAAATAAAAAATATTATCTTGCGAATAACAATTAATATATATTTTTCAAATTCTTTTCTCACTTCATGTCATATGAGTTCAAAGGACCCGTGGTAATATATGATCCTACTAGATAATCCGACAATCTTTGAGAATAATCTCGTACCTCGTAACCTTCGTGGTTTACCTCGCTATTTGAGATGGTGTTTTTTATTTTAATATTCTTAATATTACAAAGCATTTTTATGGTATAAAAACATTTGTTAAGTAGGTACTGTAGGAAGTTGATTTTATTATTATTTGACGTACCTAAGCACGAGTATACTCGGCAACGGCTATGCGGAGAATATTTTTTACAACATAATGTTATCATATTGCTCTAATGGCCTGTTTCACAATGTCAGTACAGCCGCTATGTACTAATGTACCAGATAAATTTGAATATAGAACGTATTGTGCTAATCATTTGTATATAGTTTCTTCTTGAATTGTAAACTACTGTCCTCTCCTGTGATAAATAGGTATCTTCTGATGTATTTCGTGCAGGATACAAGGCAGTTGTAGTGCTAGGAATGCTTGTTTTGGGGTTTTCATCTGATAGAACCTGACTCCTAGATTGTCCCATGAAAAACTTTTAAAAAGGCGGTGAAACAGCCGCGAAAAATACACAAATAATACACAGAGTTTCTATTTTTCTCCTATAGCTACCTAAGTACTGCTGGATTACTTGTAATAAGACGACCCACTGACCTATTTACTTACTAAAAACCGTTTAATAAGTATTATATACAGCCCGTTATAGTCTGCCTTTTCTATTTCAGGAAAAATCCATTATTGTGTTTTAATTTTATTCCGCAACTTCTGATCTCATTCGGATTGTTTATGTACTAATTTATGATTAATTAATAGAGGATACAGATACTCATAAACGCATCATATTTTATTATTATATAATTACTCCATCTGCATAATTATTCATTACTAGCTTTTGCCCGCGACTTCGTTCGCGTGGAACAGTGACTTCCTCCAGATTTTTGGTTTTATCTCGATCTCAGTTTGGATTCATTATTAGATGATTGTTAAAACTAGATTTTCATGTATTCATCTTACAGAGCTTAAGTACATTTAGGTATCTAGTCTCTACAATTTGATATGTGCATACGTGATTGAAATATTAATACTTATTAAGTAATAATATATGTAAGATATATACCTATATATATATAATAACAAAGAAATTTTTGAAAAAAGGGACAAGGACCCAAAATCGTAGTACTCGTGGTCCTTTATAAATATTGTAATTAATAGATGACGTTTAAAATTGTAAAATGGTACTTTTGACATGGCACTGGCAATGGTATGGTACTGGCAATGGGCAGACTACGCCGCTCGATGGACGGACGGCCGATGGGCCCGAAAAGTGGTAGAGTGGCGACCAAGGACCGGAAAACGTAGTGTGGGCAGGCTCCCGCTAGGTGGACTGACGACATCGTCAAAGTCACGGGGAGCCAATGGATGCAGGTGGCAACTTGTCGTTCGACGTGGAGGGTTAAGGGGGATGCCTTTACCAAGCAGTGGGCTTTTTCCGGCTGACAATGATGGTGATCATGACTTTTGACATGGAATTCACAAAAAACGAAACTACAAACGACCGAAAACCCGTGAGACCTACAAGATAATTGGAATCGTAATTTTGAAAGAAATACTTCCTGATACCAGTAAAATTTACGGAAAATATAAAGACAAATGTAAACTGTTCACTGTTTATCTAAGTAACATTGTTTTTCCTGAGTACAAACACATTTATGTACTTAAGACTACATATCTACCTGTAAGTGAGTGAGTAGGTAGTCACTTTGATTTCCTA